CCCCATTGCGATGAGCACATTAAATCCCGTACCCACATTGATAAATAGTCCCTTTCCTCAGCTCTCCTCACACTACCCCAGTAAAGTGAGCGGACGACAATGCCCTAACAAGAGGGTGGTCAATGCCCCCGTGGATATCCCGGGTCCTCGTTCCCCAGAGCCTGGGGTCTGCCACTTTTCTCTCTTTCCCAGGGTGCTGCCTCACCAGGACAGCCACAGGCTGGCCCCAGTCTGCTCCCTGGGGAGACACGTAAACTTTTCAAGGTGACATTTATACGATCCATCCCCAATTTTCTCATCCAGAACCTTCACCCATTTCGCAGGTGAGAAATTTCTCATGGCCCCCTATCCTTCAAGATGCCAGCTACTTTCCCCCGAGAGTTTCCTAGACTGCTCTGGGCAGCAGAAGGGGACACTTCGCCCCGCAAGAGGCTGTCCAGAGTGAACACAGCAGGCTTCCTGTCCTTCAGCCGGCTGACGTCAGTCCTGGAGGTCTCACACCTGCCTGTTGTGGAACCTCTTGGGGCTGCAAGTCCCCCACCGGTCAAAAGGGGGCGCCAATCTTTCTTGTGCATTTTCCAGGGTGGTGTGAGCACCAGACACTCCTTTCGCCCAGAACGTTATCATCCTGATCTTTAGGATGCTGTCTTTTCACCCGAGGTTGAGGCCCCGTCTTTCAGGTCCCTGGACCTCCTTCCAACACCTGCTGGTATCTGAGACTTCAACTCACTTCTGACATTATCTCAGTGGAGAGAGCATCAGATTCCACAGGTAAAGGGCTCAGTCCCACAAAACCACCCTCCACTTCAGACACCAGCTGCAAAACCAGGCTGTTACCTGTGTTTCTGTCCAACTGACCAGCTACAATGCCAATAGCAAGTCCAGGTTGCTAGCTGGACATGGTCCCCCTTATCCTGGGGGGACACATTCCCAAACCCCTAGTGGACACCTGAAACCTCCCACAGTACCAAACCCTACAGATGCTATTTTTCCCCCCTACACACACCTTTCCACTTACAGGAAACATTTTACAGCTTCTCTTTGGCATATCCGAATTGCCAGCATCACGGGTCTTGAGGCTTGGGGATATCACCAAGCACAATAAGGGTGACCTGAACACAAGCACGAGAGACCTCCGAGACAGCAGATCTTGACACCTAACAGGCAAAGGGGTGACTCGCTTCCGGGGGGCCCAGAGCAGGAAAGATTGCAGCTGGGAGATCACACGAGATTTCATCACGAGACTCCGACTGGCGCTGGGTTTAAACATATGGAATTTTCTGTCTGATATTTCCGAACTGATGCTGGGTGACCGAAATCTTGGAAAACAAAACCACAGATACAAGGGGACTGACTTACTGAACTCCTGACCAATCGCCGGTAAATCAGATGTTCTGTGACCCCTTCCTTGGCTTTGATTCGTTTGCCAGAAAAGCTCACATTACTCGGAAACATGTTGCTTCCTAGGATGCAGTTTGTTCTAAACAAATAGAACTCGGGGAGATGCACAGGGCAAGATATGGGGAAGGGGTGCTTCGAACCCTAACTGGAAGAGAACAGTCATAGAAAGAACGAAGAAAATGAGCTGATCCATGCTTTTGTTTTTGGTGGTACGTGCCCCTAGCAGGAACTGAACCCGGGACTCTCTGGTCCGCAGGCCAATGTTCAACCGCTGAGCCAAACTGGCCAGGGCAGAGCTGATCCATTCTGACAGAAGAACAAGAAAAGAAGGAAGTCCTGGACCCATCACCCATTTAGTCGTTCCGTGTCCTCCTCCATCACACTGGAACTGTGTCACCGCCCTGGTTCTCCGTGGGTTAAACAAGGCTTAGTGGGTGTGAAAGGCTTTGTCTCTGCCGGGGAAGAGGTGGTGCCTGATTTATCTTAGTTCATGTTGCTCAGTAGACTAAATAGACAAGTCTTCGGCAGGAAGGCACCTGGTTCCAATTTCATCTCTCCCTCCCCCGTGACCTTGGGTCACTTACACCCCTAAATCTCACCTCCTGGCCTGTAAAATGGGGCTAATAACTCCTGCCCAAGCTCCCAGGCCGACTGAGCGAGAAGGAGGAGACGTTAATCCCATCGGGCTACCATCTGTCTCTCGACGCAACAGCTAATCCAGTTGTCCTCCTAGAAACTCAAACAGCTGGAAATGCGCCGTCCTCCATGGGCGGAGAGAAATTCCTCCGGGGCCTTGACATTCCTGCCTTTCCCAGCGAGTCCTGGCTGCGTATTTGGTAAACCCGTGTCGCCGATTCTCAAGGATCTTTCCTGCGCGGCAAACATGATGGTTCTTTAAAAAGTCATCAGGGAGAGGCTCAGTGAGAAGCAGAGCAGAAAAAGAAAATTACACAGATGAGTGAGTCATATCCCGGGGGGGATGTTCACATGAAGCTATTTAATCCTTTCCTTTAAGGCTTGGGACACGATGATGGAGGAGGTTTGGGGGTAGAGGTGATTGGAGAAATTCGGTCATTATTCCTAAAAAGGGGAGCCCCACTGGGCTCCCTGAATGCCAGCCTTGAAGCCCAGTGCCTTCATAACAAGGGGGTGTATCCTGGAGCTGCTCCCCTCTGTGCCTCACAACTGCCCCTGCTGTTCCCAGAGGGGGTTGGATTTGACATCACCAGGAACCCTTCACTTTGTCTCAAACGCACTTTCTACATTTTCCAAACAATTCCATTTCATGTGGTTTGACCATGACGGGTACCCTGAAAAGACATGGTGGAGCCCTAAATGCATGTTAGGAAGTGAAAGAAGCCACCTACAAAGGCTACATGTCATGAGATTCCAACGGTATGGCCTTCTGGAAAATGCAAAACTATGGAGACAGTAAAAAGATCATTGGTTGCCAGGGTTTGGGGAGGGTGGGGAGGGATGACTAGGCAGAGCACAGAGGTTTTTAGGGCAGTGAAACCCTTTTGTACGAGAGACCACAGTGAGGGATGCATGTCATTACACGTTTGTCCAAACCCACAGAACGCACGACCCCGGGAGGGAGCCCTAACGGAAACTCTGGACTTGGCGTGATTACGATGTATCCTTGCAGGTTCACCACTGGTAACAAACGCGCCACTCTGCTGGGGGACCTGGACAGCAGGGGAAGCCATGCATGTGTGAGGACAGGGACATGGGATCTCTGTACTTCCCCTCCATTCTGCTGTGAGCCTAAAACCGCTCTAAAACAATCAACTTTAATTTGGGCAAATTCAGGATATGCCCCACACCGCAGCAGTGAGCCGCTGAAACCCGACCGCTCAGACTGTTGTTTCCACCTACTAGGTAAAGCGGGACCCACTCGAGGGCTCTCACCTGGCCGGGCAGAGACCCAGCAGGGTCTGCGTGCTCTTGGCCGTGAGAGAAGCTTCTCTTCAGCTTTGGGGCCTTCTGTTGTCATCTCGAAATGCCACCAGAAGGGCCCGATCTCTCTCCCTGTGAAATTTCGCCATGCTCACGCCGAGGTGGGCGCCGAGCGGCAGCCCCGCGCTGGGCTGGCTCACAGCAGACAGGCAGTCCTGAGCTTCAGCGGCACCGGAACCGCCCGCGAGGTTCGCTGTCTGCAGCTTTCTGGGCTCCTACTCCCAAGACGCCTTAGTCGTTTCCCGACACACCTGGGAATCTGCATTTCAAGATCCCAGGTGAGGCCGATGTAAGGAATCAAGGAGCCCCACGGGGGGAAGCCCCGGCCTGGTGCGGAGTCCTGGAAACACCTGTGGGATGGCCTGGCCGCACCCCCTCAGGTGTTGCGAGGAGAGACTAAAGCTCAAACTGGGGAAGGATTTGCCCAAGGTCATAGAGAGGTCACAGCAGAGCCCAAACAAGGCTACTCAAGGTGACCAGGCCTGTGTGCAGGTAGCACCAAGTATCTATTAATTGGTGACATGCAGACCCTGAAAAGTCAGACCAGGAGACTCCCCTCCTCCACCTCCTTCCCCCCCTCTCCTTCCTCCTCCCCTCCCCACTTTTCCCTCTGCCATTATTTTCCAGAACTCATCCAATCGCCTAAACCACACAGGCCCTCCCCCAGCCCACTGGACGCATTACTCGGATGTGGGAGATCAGGACTTAGGCCAGCAGTAAAGACGGTCCCCATGGGAACCGCCGTCCCGCCGGAAGCCCGGGGGACCCTCAGCCCGCGGGACGGTGCCCTGACCCAGGCAGGCACCTCGGCTGGCCACAGGGTCAAAGCAGCAGCCCAGTGTGCTGGGCCCTGCGGGCGGAAGCCTAGGCCCCCGCCGCGGAGGCCACGCTGGGCAGCTTGGGGCCGACTGGCCTTCTCCCACCCGCCAGCTGCCCGGGGAGCCGCACAGGGCACAGCGCCAGGCTGCCGCTGGGACACTCGGTGACTCCACAGAGGGAGCTCCGGGGAGAGCACAGCCCCTCTCGGCTGCCACCACCCCCACCGCTGAACCGGCTCCATTCAAACAAATGCCTAGTAACGGGTGTGCCTGGTAAACCGACTCCTCTGAGGCCCAGATGGAGGCAGCGCCACAGGAAATTCAAACCCTGACCCGCCGTTCCCCTCCCCCACCACACAGGCTCCATCGGGAGTGACATTCGGCAGGGCTCATCCTCAGCAGGGCCGGAGAGGTGGACGAGGGAGAGTTCGGCGCCCTGACCACACACAGACAAGCAGCTCAGCAGAAACCACGGGCCACGACGCAAACACAGACCCTGGCGTCCGCGGGGAGAGTCCCACTGCACGTGAGCCGTTACTCGAAATCTACTTTTTAAATGATCAGCAAACAGCTGGGTCCTGATCAGGGCACTTTGGAGAAGAGCCCACGCCCCAGTGTATTGTTCTAAAATCGTCCACAGGGTCCTCCGGTTCTCTGAGAGAGCCATGGGCAGGGGAGGCCAAGGACGGTGTCCACACCAGAAAGGCCTAAAATAGACGGAAAGGGCAGAGGCCTGCACACAGCCCCCAGCACACATGCTGGAGGCGAACACTTGCCGAGCAGCCCCTAAGACGCCCACCATGAAACCCAGGCTGACGATACCTTGTCCACTCGAGGCCACCGGTCACAGGAACCACTCCCGCCCAAGAGGTCTCCCCAAGTGGCAGCGCAGGGACCCCAGCAAGCCAGCCAAGCGGGGGCGAAGGACAAATGTCACAGGCACCCCTCCCCGGGCGCTCACACACAGCCCCTTCTCTGACTGCTCCTCCCGGGCCCTCCCCCCACCCTCCCTCTGCGCCAATGTGATAGCAGCAGCTGAGTCGACAAGTCATTTCTAAAATTAGCCTGTGAGCTCCAGGTCTGGCCAGGAGACCGCAGCCCCGGGGTGGCGTTGACCAGGCATCGGAGACCATGGACATATTTGGTGGCACAGAGCAGGGGAGGGGACAGCTCCCAGCACAAGCACAGTCTCACCCGTCATTCCTGTCCCAGCCAGGCCACACTTCTGCCTCTGCCCCACACAGGTCACCGGATGCCCTCAGATCTGAGCGAGGGAGCCCGGGTCTCCATCGCGGCTGGATTCTGGAAGGAAAGAGTTCAAGTCCTGCTGCTGCCTCATAGTCCCCGACCCCTACAGATACACGTGCCTAACAAGTAGCAGTGGTCGGCACACCCCAGACACCCACCTGAGGGCTTTGGGGGGCTCATGGACTATTCCTGACAATCCTAGGAGGCAGGGTTTCCCCATGCCCATTTGACAGGTGGGGAAACCGAGGCACATAAGACTGAACCAAGTTGCCCAATGCAGTGGAGGGCCAGGATTTGAACCCAGACAGGATGTCGCAGAAACTGCGTTCCCCGCTGCCTCGTAGGGACTTCAGTAGGTTACGTATGTCGTGCAGGGCCCCAGGGCCAGGGAGGGGTGGGGTCAGGACTCGGATCCAGGTGTCCCTGACCCGAAAGCCCATGGGCCTCCACCCGCACTTCACACACTGCTCCTCCGAGGACGCCTTTCAGTGAGCGCCTGGAAATCAGACTCCATTTAACGTGGCTTTCTGGAATGAAAATGAGTAAATCTGGGTGACTCGTAACATGGAGCCTCTACTGCGTGTCGGGGCCACACACATTCCTTTTCTGGGAAGTGTCTTTCAGGTCTTTGGCCCCTTTCTCCACTGGGTCCTCTCGTTTCTTACTGATGCGAGCCCTTCGGGCGCAGGTATCGCAAAGCTCCTGGTTTCACGGTTTGCCGGAACGCCGTGTGTCTTTTTTCAAAATATCAGTAAAGATGCAAGTGAGATGGTTGCCAGAGGGGTGGGGGGTCGGGGTCTGGGTGAGAAGGGGGAGGAGACTGAGAAGTACAGGGTGGTAGTTACAGAATAGTGATCGGGATGTAAGTACAGCCTGGGGAATGGAGTCAAGAATATTGTAATAACTATGTATGGTGCCAGGGCGGTGCTGGAAACATCGGGGGGATCACTGTGTGGAGTATATGATGGTCTAACCACGATGCTGTGCACCTGAAACTAATACAAAATAATATTGAGTTGAACCTTAATTGAAAAACATTAATAATCAAATAAAAGTGAATCTGCCTCGAGGGATTGCTACGTGTCCCCCTCTGTTCTGAGAGCACTTTGTATGTTTCAGCCTACGAAATCCTCAAGAAATCTAGAATGGATTTGGGGTGCGTTTTATCAGGCCACTGCAGAGACCACGGGTACAGGCACAGAGAGGTTAAGTGACTTGCCCAAGGCCACCTGGGAGTGAACTGGGAGCCCGGCTCAGCTCCTAGACAGGATGACTCCAGGCAGATGTGGTAAACAGGCTATCAAAGCAATGCTGTGTCTAGACTTAGAAGTGCAACCAAAGAACTGGGCGTTTTACCCAGATACCAAAGCTAAAGAAGAAAAAATAATGTGAAAAACGGTTGCTTGGGGGTATCCGGAAGTCAGGAGAATGTCTCTCTGCTGTGACTACCTGCCCCAGCCTCCGTGTCACCTGTTACAGGTCCGGTACAGGGAGTCACTGAATACATTTCCCGTGTCTGTGAGCTCAGAGTGAAGGCCCCCTGGACATAACCAGCCTGAATAATTTGGACTGAAAACCTTTTTTCAGTCTCCAGTGTCCAGACTGGTGAAAAGTGGCCAGGAAAAGCCAGCCGTGCAGTTCTAAGATCTCTCTCCCTCCGTTCGACACGTGGTTCCTACCCAGGTAACCCAGAGGGGCTCCAGCGAGGAGGACGCACGGTCAAAGGGCCAGTGACAGTTACCCACAAGGCAACGCGGAGAAACCAGGGGCTGGGGGAAGGGCCCTTCCGCTTTGCTCTCCAGGGACGTCCGTCCTGAGTCCCTCACATCTACCCGGAGAAACCTGGGATGTGTTTGGCTGGGATGGTCCTTCCAGGTCATCTAATTCAACTCCTGTAACGTAGGGACGAGAACACTGAGGACCCACGTGGCCTGGAGGCACAGTGCCCAGGCCCAGGGCCGTTCCCCCTCCTCCCAGGTACGGGGGGGGGGGGGGGCTGGATCCCTGCGGCTCTCAGGCCCTCGGCTCCATAATGCATCCGGCCGAGGGCTCCCTAGGCTGCTGCCTTCTGCCCGGCCTGGCTGCAAGGGCGTTCGGTGGTTTCAAACCCGCAAGCACACACTCCAGGGACACGTGACGGCCACGTGGCCCCACGGTGACTTCCTTCTCTCCTGAACCAGCTCCCAGCTCAAGGATGGGCGGTACCCACCCCACCCTCGACCCGTGGACCCCAAGCAGGCAGTTGTGCCCAGGCTGCTGTGGCCCTGGGGACACCACCTCCATGTGACACACACGTGCACCATGGGGTCCTCAGCGTGTCTCCGTGGGAGCAGGAATGGAGAGCGAGCGAGGGGTCCTAACTTCCAGGGGGCACTCCAAGTCCCCCCAGCCCAGGAGTAAGTGGGTGCCTGCCACAGTTGCTGGACAAACTGGAGACAAGATGGATCTCCTGGGTCTCCTGGCTGCTGGGCTGTCAGACTCTTTCCTTGTAATGTATCTTCCAGGAGGAAGCAGCAGTCAGTCTGCAAACCCCGAAGACCGTAACGCTGGCTGTGCTCCAGCCCAGAACATCAACACAATGCTCACCGCGGCAGTTCCCGTCCTCTTTGTAAAATCAGCTGCTGCACAAACTTCCCCCCAGTCAGGAGTCTGCAAAATGAGTTACCTCTCGATGTCTCCAGAACGCGATAAATGGGTTTAAAAAAAAAAAGGTACTGATCGATCATTTTTTTTTTGTAAAATATGTTTTTATTGATTTTAGAGAGAAATATCGATTGGCTGCCTCCTGCACGCCCCCTACTGGGGATCGAGCCCGCAACCCAGGCATGTGCCCTAACAGGGAATTGAACTAGTGACCTCTTGGTGCATGGGACGACACTCAACCCACTGAGCCACACTGGCCGGGCAATGCAGTTTTTAATTAGGGGGTGGGGGTGAGGGTCAGCATGCCAAAGGAGGTGTGTTTGTACAGATGCTTTTTATTGAGATTTACATAAGCAATTTATCAACACAGAAAAACCAGCCTCAATGCTCCAAAATAACGGTAAAAGACGGTGATGCTGACAACCCACCACACAGGGCAGGTGACCGCTGACATGGAACAGCATCTCAGTAGGATCCTATTTCAAACGTGCACTAGTGAGCATACTGAGACAGGGCTACGTACTTCCACTGACTGGAGGAGTAAGTTCATAGGTACAGTATCTAGATTTACAACATCGAATTCACTGGCTTCACTTTGTATAGCAATGCACAGCAGAAAGGGATTTAGCTCATTAAGGTATTACACGTTGCCAAAAATATAGTAACTATGTTACCACATGGATGATTCTGCAGAGGCAAACAGGCAGAGGTCAGCATGTGGAGAGGAACCCCTCCCACAGTTCCCATCTCCATCTTATTTCACGTATATCCTTAAGGGTCTGCCTGCAAAGACCTCTTGCCACGTTGATCATACACAAGGGCATTTGCCTTTCTGACCCCATTTTTCGAACCATCTTGAAACAGCAGCGGGGAAAAGTCCCATTCAAAGGGCCCTCCCAGGAGCAATGTTTTTAAGCACAGCTGATTTGCAAAGGGTGCCCAAGAGGAACTTCCCCAGTAAGTGCTTGATACATCATGTGCAGTGGCGGAATCTCCAGGCTATGGCAAGACTGATAGTGTCGATTTGGCACGAGAAGAGTAACAAGTGAATGATGCCTTGCAGGCGAACCTCAGCTCCTTGAAGGGAATTCAACACCTGCTCACTGGGGCCTTTCCACAGGGCTTTTCAACCACACCCACACCACTAGGAAATGACAGCAAAGAGCTCTCCCAAAATTCTTTTATCATGTGGCCGGTCTAGAAGGGAGCATTTGGAGGCCTTGGACAGAGGTAGATGAAAGCAGTAATTCACAGCGAGTTCGATGTCAGATGCTACTGAAAAATGCGTCCTCCTCCCGGCACAGACCAGAGGATGAGATATTGTTGAAATCAACCCTTGGCAGTCAGGAGATGTTTGCCCCGATGTGAGATGTTAGATGTGTGGTTTTGATTTTATTTTGTGAAAAACAGAAAGGACTGCCATTTCTTTAGATAACGAGCTATACAAATACAAAGGAACAGAAATGGTTAGAAATGTCTTTGAGGAAAACAAATGAAGGAGTCAATAAATAATATAAAATGCTTTTGTACTAAAATAGAACTCTTGTTTAATATATATGTAGCTTAGCAATCTTTGTTACCCAGAAAAAGCCAAATCTATTTATTATAATTCGTTAAAACAAAGAAAGACTCAATTTAGCAATTAAACTAAAAGTGGCCAGTGTTTAGCTTATAAACCACATATAATATGTATATCATGGAACACAATCAACTGAGAAACAAACCCAATTTCATTTGTCATATGAATACACGATCGGAAATATTTCTCCACTCCCTACCCTTACATTTTATATTAGGACAAAATTTTAAAGCGGAAGCAGTTACCAGTTTTCAGAGATGATTTTGAAACTGTGGGTATAGGAGAGTTAACTCTACTCAAGGAATGTGAATTATTTCATTCTAAAATGCATTTTTCTGTTTTTGATTAAATGCTTATGTCGCTAACCCCATCCTCTGTTGTGTGTACGTGTATGTTTTTAAATAAAGGCAATTTAACATGTGGGGTGTTGATTTCTCAATCAACGCTGACCCAGGCATGGCAGGAACACGCCCCAGTGGCAGCGAGGTGGCCAGTCACCGGGACCCCTCCAGGACTTTGGATGCTGCTATTAACAGAAATCTGTTACTTTGCTATTTGAAAAAAAACACAAAACAACAACAACAACTCTCTTTATCTTTGAGGACAAAGGAAATCTAAAATCCATGCAGACTTGAAGAAACCAAGGATTATCATTTTAGAGTTCAACTTTCATTAATTCTACAGTAAAAAGTTTTTTAAAATGTGGCCAGGACAGAAAAAAAAAAAATCATATGAACATGAATCTAAGTAATCCAAGCATCTCAAGTCAACCTTACCTGGGAGAAAAAATCCTGTTCAGAGCTTTAGAGAAAAAGTTGTGAAAATTTAAACAATTAAAACTCACTCTAGAAATGGACATGGCTTGAGCAGCAGCCAGGGTCCTGTTACCCCCGGGGTTCTGTAGGGATTTCAGCGGATGTGCGACCATGTCTGAAACTGACCAGCAGGGCAGGGCAAGGCACACGCACAAGGAGGCTTTAGCTCTGGGTCCCGTGTGCCTTCCCGAGGTGCTAGGTGACATGCTGTAGCAACTTATTTTCTATAGAATGTCCTCATGGAGAAAGCAAATGGTCCTTAACAGGTTCAGCGGCTCCATATTCAAAAATAAAGTGACCAAGTCTAACAAGAAATATATTCGAGGCCTCTGTTATAAGGCATGATTTCTGTTTACCAGCAAATTCACTCTGTTCTTCCTTTGCCCCATTTCTACCACTGGTTCCTCTGCGACACCCACCCCGCCCACCACCTGTCACAGACCCCAGCGATGCCAGCTCCTCTCAGGCACAAACTGCAGTCAGTCCCCTGGGGCCGGAAGGAGTTAATTCATCAGGCAGCTCTGAATGACACGAAACGCATCCCTGAACACGATTGAGAAAAGAAATCACATGATTAAATCATACAAGATACGTCTTATCACACACCAGCACACTTCAAAGTCCTTTTTTTTTTTTTTTACAAATTTACATTAATAAAAAAAAAGTCCGACTTTGAGAATTTTGCTTTCACCTCAACAGGTTAAAATTTTGAAGCATCAGGAAAAAAATCAATTGTACTGAAAAGGCCAATGTTGTATTGAATTGGCCCAACTAGGATTCTGAGTGAAATAAAAAAAATCGTCAGAGAAGAACCACTCTTTGATCTTTTATTAAATCTAGTTGGATCGTATTGTCAACTGGTAAACTGTATTTTTTTAATGGCCGAGAGGGGGCCTTAAAACAGTTATTTTGAACATCTTACGACATATTTCAAACTGCAAATCAAGGTAAATCTTGCTTGAGACATGTCGTTGTTTGCTGTTGCCTTTCTTTCTTTCTCTCAATTTATTTTTTCCAGGTTTGCTGTCTTTCCGAGAGGACTCTTCCTTGCCTCCGCACCTGCACCTCTGGCCCCGCCTCTCCCTTCACAGGACGTGAAGTTGTCATCTCAGTGAACTGGCCAATCAGAGGCATGAGTGATGAAACATTTGCATTAGCAGGGAAATAACGGCTAGTTTCTAAAAGTTTTGCTGGAAAAAAAATCACCCTTAAACATGACACAGAAGAAAAAACTCGTGAGCCCCAATGATGGGGGCGGATAAATGCACCAAAGAGAATGTTCCAGGTTAAAAAAATAACCTTGGATTCATAAAAGCTTTAAATTTACTCCATCTATACTGTATAGCAGCTTCATCTATTACTTTTAGACTTTGCTTTATTGATTCCTTTGAATTATGAAATTAAGATTTATTATAACATAACTTTATAAAAATAATATCAATTCTATTATCTTCTTTGACAAAGTTAAAATATCCCAACCACACATATATCTAAAATAATGAGAAAACTTGTGCAGGATTTTGTCTTTTTTAATGATTCCAACATAGGAAGGGTCCAACATCAAGGGTGACATAACTCTCTTACAGTTCCTACAGCCACTACGCCAGGACTCCCACCGGCCTCCCCAGGACTGCCGACCAGACCCCAACCCAACCAGAGACCAGCCTCGGGGGGCCGACACCCCGATCTGAGTACAATACATTCCACCTATGCCAAGTCCTCACCATGTCACTGAATCAAGCGTGACCTGGGCGAACATAGATGTTTACTTGGAATAAGTATGACCCAAAAGGCTTCTCGGGCTAATTTCTTAGAAGCAATTTCTAAATTTCTAAAAGAGAGATTCACCTTACCTTCCACTCCAGACAAACATTGTATTTTTCAGAGAGAAGAGAATCGGTGAAGCTAGTGGCCTAGGTATGAAAAGTGAGCTGCTGAGCCCAGACCCAGGAGGGGTCTGCGTGCCTTCTGCACAGGAGGCTCAGGCCGTCCAGCAGAGACACGGGCTCCGAGGTGTCTGCCCTCCACACGCGGAGCATGCGTGCTGCGGTGACAAGAACATGCCTGTGAACAACTGCTTTTCTGTCTCAGTAGTTTGTGTTTGTTTGTTTTTTGCCTTTTCTTTTTTAAATAAATAGAACTTAATTACAATTCTTCCCGTTTAAAATCGAGAATGCATGTGAATAGCGCATCCCTCCTCCTACATGAGAAAGAACAGGCAACAGAACACATGTGTTCACCTAAACTCCAACCCAGAGTTGAGCTGGACAGAGACCCTCCCAATTTCTTTCCCAGAGTAACGCCTGTGAACCCAAAGACGTTCAGGAATGATCCTGCCAACTCTCACACACACCTTCATTCAGAAGCACCCCTTTCTGGGGGACACAGCACACAGATGCAAAGCAAAGATCTGGAGCCGCTGAAAACATCAAGGACAGGATGCCGGTGCTCAGGAGGTCAAGTTATGTATTATTGTTAGCAGTCAACTTAGGGACAAGAAAGCTGCACGAAGAACAGGACGCTTCAAATCCTACCAGAAGGGGACACAGACCTGCCCTTCACACATCCACCGGGCGTGTGTCCTGAGGTCTAGCGGAAGGAACCAGAGTGACCGCGTCACAGGTCTCGTCCTCGACACCCGGCGGACTCAGCCCAAGTGTTCCTGTGCACCCAGACACGGGAAAGTGCTGTTTACTTGAAGGCTTCTGAAAATCACCACTGCCCCGAAACGGAAAACCCCACGCCTCGCCTTCGGAATCGCTGTCAACTCTCCCGGCGGCTGACTGCGGAGCCCGCGGTTCAGAGCAGCGCCGGGGCGCTGGGCCGCACGCCTGCCCGCCTGCCCGGGACCCAGATCCGTGGGAGGCAGGCCCGGGCCGGGGCGCCCGTGCAGCCGTCCCAGGAAGTGCAGTCGGCTTTCCAGCCCACACAACCCCGAGTGGGCCTGAGCCGCAGGGAACACGCACGCTGCTCCCCCCAGGAGTAGGAGCGGTGACCGCCAGGGAGAAGGAGGACCCGCCAGCACTGGGCGATCATCACCAGCCCCTCAGGCAGCGTGACTCCGGCTCCGCATCAGACGTGAGAATCGGAGTGCCGAGTAGCAATCATCTCAAGTTCTAGGTTCACAGGTAACCAAAATGAGTGTGCAGCAAAACGAACACTCTCTCTTCAGTAGTTTCGAGCATGGACTAATGCGAGGTGGCGGGCACCCGGGAGGGAGGGAGGCCGCCGGGCCTGGGCCTGGGCACGGCTCCTGCTGGAGGGCCGCAGCGCCCCGGCCTTCCCGCGGTGGGAGCCCGAGATGAGCGACCGTCCTCTCATCCCCTCCTCCTCCCACAGGCTCCCTTCCAAGGGCTGGACACGCCCGCGTGGACTCCCTCGAGGCCCCGTCTCCCGCAGGGCCCTGCGGTCCCGGCTGTCAGAGGCCGTTGCTGTTCCTGTGACAGAGGGGGGGCTTTGAGAGCTCCAGGACACCCGTCCGAGACTTGTTGAGGAACTTGGGAGCACGGCGCAGTAGTCGCTGGGCCTCCGTGAACGTCTCGGTCAGCTCCTTCTTCCACTGCACAAACTCCGGGTCGCTCTGCACGGAAACACAGAGGGGACAGCTCCGCCCACTGTGGCCACAGATGCGGACCAGGCGGTGTGACCGCGTCCTTGGACCCTGCCATGAGAGCACTCTGCTCTCTGCCCCTCCCCCGGCGGCAGCACCAGCCAGGCCCGCGCAGACGCCCTGCTCTCCTTGCGGAGGAAGGAGAGACACCCCAGCCCGTAGGTGACCCTCACAGCCCCACACTGACGGCATCTTTGATCTCTCATCTCTACAGCGACTCAAGTCTATAAAATAACAGATGAGCAGTTTTGACAAGTTTCACACACCTCAACATGTAATGAAGTAACACATTGTTGCATCTACCTACTATTGGTTATCTCTTTTTTAAAATTGTTTTTCTTTATTGATTTTAGAGAGAGAGGAAGGGAGAGAGAGAGATAGAAACATTGATGAGAGGGAACATCAACTGGCTGCCTCCTGCATGCCCCTCACTGGGATTTGGCCCACAACCTGGGCCTGTGTCTTGACCAGGAATCGAACCAGCGACCTCTTGGTACATGGTTTGATGCTCAACCACTGAACCACATCGGCCGGGCCTGGTTATCTCTTTAAATATGCTTCTCTCTCTGTCTCTCTCTCTCACACACACACACACTCACACACACACACAAAACAAACACACCAGTGCCCCAGTAGAAAAGTATTCAGGAATTAAATTTGGGCTACAATAGAGCTTTGAGGAGAGAAACATGGCATTTCCCCTTGAGGGTCACTTTGGTGTCTTACATTTATTTAAATATACCAACCTCAAACTCAAACATGCTGAAAGATCTGGACAATTATGTAACAAATAAAATGTTAGGCCCCTATGAAATATTGGAGAGTTTCCAGATAGGGTAATTATTAAACTACTTCACATACCTTCTCCTCATGGGTGCTAATATTTGCTTCTCTAAAAATAATTGAAATTGCTGGAAACTTTGCACCATAGGACTTCTTTTTCAGTTTATAAGTGGCAAAGCACAGAGTAAGAAAATGTTGTCTAACCAAGCAGTCATCTATTCTGGAGATAGATAGATAGATAGATAGATAGATAGATAGATAGATAGATAGATGACAGATAGAAAGAACTGTTCTAAATTGCACCTGTGTCTATGAAAAAATAATAGAAACTCACCTCACATTGCAAGACAAATTGCTTCCCTCCTTTTATCCTCAACAAAATGCACTTTTTGTCTTTAATCTGAGTTTCTTCCACAGACAGAATCTGCTCCATCGTCAGTAAATTTTGCTAATCATAAAAATAAAAATTATAAATTACTTCACATCATTCAAAATTTAAGTTAAATTAATAAATAATCCCGGAAACTACCAACTTAGATAAAGTAAACAACAACAACAAAAAGCTTGGCACTTTCTTTCTTTGAGGACATTCCAGAAGCGGGGGAGGCGGCTACGAAGAACACACAGGAGAGCAAACTGCAGCATCTCAGAAACTGCACAGAAAGACGTCTCCGTGAGGCCGAGCAGCACAGCTGTTCCCTCCACACGGAACTGATCTCTGAGTGATTACGAATCACTTATTTTTGTACCACGCGCTCATCTTAATTCTATCAACAAAGTCGTGGGGGACAGAGGAGCGCGACGTGTGATTTACCGGAGCCGGAGGTGTGTTTTCACGCAGCAGCTCGGGAAACGCTGGGCGGTGCAGGCTTGTCAGCTAGCGTTCGTCTGATCGCTTCGAAACGAGCTATAGACCCAGGTGACAGCCTTCAAAGCCTGTCACACAGGCCTATAGCATTACTGCGTCCGGTCTGGAGCATCCGCTCCAGTGTCACGAGCACCTCACCACTCTGTGTGGATAAATACTCCAGATACCCTACGTGAGAGGCACCACCATCATCCACACTCACGTGCGCCTTTTCCTCATTGATCCCTACGAAGCATATTAGGTAGCTTCTCAAACAGAACATTAAACGTTGACTCTTTTTAGTGCATCTAATGTTAAAGGAAGGTTTTTTAATTTAATTTTCAAATATCCTGAAAAATGGAACAATTTCCTTTATGTGCACAATCGTGCCCAGTATACCCAGGGCTGTTAACTATATATAATTACATATAGTAATAATAATAATTATAATAAATTATATATAAATTAAAACTCAGGTGCTGAGTGCGTATATAGCTATATATTACAATATGTACGATATTCTATATAACACTATATACTACATTATATAATACTCATCAGCACCTGAGTTATAATTCAGTTCTCCACCCAAAGGGTCTTAATAACTGTAACTCAGAACCGAGGTGCATTAATTTTTAGAAAATGCCTTCTATGGCATTAGTAATAATGAGATCTTATTTGTTTATAAAGAAATGTGCTACTATGTAATAGCGATCACTCAAAATTAAACTGCAACTTCACCAACAGGGTTCACACACACGTCCTGCACGACCCGGAGAACCGGTGGGCAGTGTTCCGGAATATCTAATACACAGGTTATGTTTTTAACATCTGGAACCAATAACCTGCCTACTGGTCCCCAGTGACTGGCCATTCCCTCCCCCAGGGCAGGCATCCATCTCCCATGTGCCAAGCCCTGGGCTCCTCACACAGTAGGCGCTTAATAAATGCTGCCTGGCTTGCTAAAAGGGACGGTGTGGGTCGAAAGCTTCTTTTTCCTGTCTTGTTCACAAACATGAACTCTCGCGAGGACCTCAGAGGACAGCTGTGTATCTTCCCGTCCACCGTATGGATCCGCACACAAGCTTCCGACGAGATGGAGACAAGGTTTGGTGACTCTGCCTCGATGCCCCGCATCGCTGACCTCACTTCATCTGTCCCCCACTAGGGAGGCCAGCTGTGTCACCGAGACATGAGCTCACAGGCAGCCTGGGTCCGAATCACCCCTCACAACTAACTGTCTACCTGTGTCGTGGGCAACAGACCTTCCCTCTCTAAGCCCTGGTTCCCTCCTTATAAAATACAAGCTGGACCCCCAAAGGTTGCTACCCATTAAATGAGTTTGTTTGTTTTTAACAGCGCCTGTTGAAGATAAATATACAAAAGACTACAGTAGCTGTTCTGATCTCCATTTCTCCCTTTTTACAGATGAGGAAACTGAGGGTCAGAGAGTCGGCGTAGTGTGCTCCAAGTCCCAGGGTCTCTTTGACGCCCAAGTCCTAGATGTTTTCGATCTACCCAACTGTTCTCCAGCCTTCAAAGCTGTCTGCCTTGGACTTCACCAACGGCACGTTCTATTTTCAGACATTACGAAAGCCCTCCTTGACTCAGAAGGTCTAAAAGTTACAGTTCGAGCATTAAAATCTCATGTACACAAGTTAAAATAGATACACAGGGCTTCGGAGGTGGTTCTACAGAACATGCCAGCAACAGGAAATACTATATGATACTAGCCTCACGACAGTAAGTGCCTGGTACACACGTGGGACTCACCCGGGACTCTCCCTCTCCTCTCCATTCCAGTCTGTTCGGAAAGAGGTAAAAATACCGACGCTGCCACTGGGTCAGAAATGGGTTTCCCAGCTTCAGCATGTACCCGTGCATGATGCAGTCTTTTCCCAGAGCATAATCTGAGGAGCAGAAAACAACTAAGTTAAATGGGGTCTGACACAGAATGTCTGTATTAGTTTCAGAAAAGAATGATCACTTCCTGGAAAAATCAAGTTTCTAGCAACAATGTAAAACATTACAGAAAGCATTCTTTCTTTCTTAAAATTTTTAAATTAAAGGCATTGGGGTAAAACTGGTTAATCAAATTATATAGGCCACCAGGGCAGGATTCTGGAATACTTCATCTGTGTACTGCGTTATATGCTTATCAAGCTCAGATTGCCCTCCGTCGCCATGTATTTGACCCCCTAATTTTACTACTTCCCCCTAATCCCTTTCACCCTGGTAACCACCACCCTGCTCTCTGTGTCCATGTGTTTCTGTTTGTTTGTTCATTTGTTGCAGAATCATCATTTCAGTCTTTAACTGCATTGGAACCGAGAATTTAAGGAACAGAGGTTTCTTCAACTCTCTCTCTACTGACATTAAATAGTTGCCTCTCAACTTTCTGATAAATTCACGATGGTCATTTATGGCTCGGAGAGAGCCAAGTGCGCTCTGAAACTATTTTTTCCCTCTATGCGATTAGAATGGAAGAAGAGAGAGTAACAGAATTCAAGGTACGCCCCAAATGCCTCTGCCTCTACAGTAACCGGGGCTCTCACTTTGATCTACCTTTTACTTTCAATATAATAACAGAGCAGAAATTTCCATGCCCAGCTAAGCAAAGTAACACAAGGATCAAACTGTTTATTTCTTGTTGCTGTTTTGTTTATTTATCCTCACTCGAGGACATTTTTGCATTCATCTTCAGATAGAGTGGGAGGGAGAGAGGGAGAGAGAAACACTGATGTGAGAGAGATACATCGAGTGGCTGCCACCCACACAACCCCAACTGGGGCCGGGGACAGACTGCAACTGAGGCACGTGCCCTTAGTGGGAACCAAACCCAGGACTCTCTGGTCCGCGGGCCGACACTCTAACTGCTGAACCAAACTGGCCCCCAAAGTAACCTATTAATAGAGTAAAACTGTTTCAGGTCATTTTATTACACAAAGTTAACCTGGAAAGGTCACTGCTGAGAGGGAAAACACAACGGTATCTCACCATGATCATCAACCCCAATACCTTTAAATATCCGAAAGTCATGAAATCCTAGACAAATCGAAGAGTGACAATGTGTGGTGAACCAAGAAGGACTGATGTATTTAACACCCTGTGTTACGTGTTCTACCCTGAAAAGCCTAACGGGGCACTCAAGTACTGTGACCAAAACACGACGTGGCGGTTCTTCAGTGCTGTCTGTAGCACAAACGTGTCAGTACACGGGTATCTCTTGACAAGTGGCACGTACATGCCAGGTTCCTCACCGGGACCAGTGACACACTCTGCAGGGCCGGGAAGAAAATGACAATGCGGGCCTCTTGTTTAAAATTACCGAGGATGTCAAGATGACAGCAGCAGAGTCCACAGAGGGCGTGACCCTGCCCATGGCGCTGGTCCTGCTCCCGACACTGTTAAACTCACGCTTCACGGGAAAGCTTCCTCAGCAGCCCACACACGGAGAGGACACGCCAACGACGCTGCTCACTACCGACCTCCACGCAGGTTCACGTGCGGGTTGCCTGGAGCCACTGAGGTGGCAACCGTCCCGAGCCAGATAAAACGAGGGCAATTTATGGCATTTGCTCCTCTCTACTGCAAAGCACTTGGTGACCCAGACACTTTTTCAGCGTTACAAGAACTTTTGAAAGTGCACTGCGCTAGGAATCTCCTGAGAGATTCGCTCTTACCTTCCTCCTGGCCGAGCTGCTTTTTGGCTCTCTTCCGGGCCTCGATCTTGTCCGTGTCCGCGTTCACCGTCTCGTAGATGGTCTCCACCACCTCCTGCTGCCAGCGCTCCGACACCACCAGCGGGAAGTTCTTGTACAGCTCCTGGTCGCAGTCCAGGAGCTTGGGTGCGAAACGGAGACGTCGATGAGCGAGACGCCCGAGTGACCGCACTTACGCGGCAGCCGCTGCGATGGCGTGTCGCCGCTCAGGACGGTTTCCAAGCTGTGACAGATCCCCTGACAACCAAGCAGCCAGGACGCACGGCAAGTCACTCCCCTCCCAGACCGGCGGCTTCACCCCACTTCCCCCAACTGCCTTCACCACAGCTTTGCTGATGTCAGCTGACACAGGCAGGGTTTTATCTGCAGGTTGTGACAACAAAATAGAATTCCAGATATGGTGAGGGTATTTTATTTGTCTTGAAAATAGACTCCCATGGTTTTTAGAAACAATTAAAGGGAGAAGCCAGAAGAGTCTTCGAACCACTTCACTTACTCTGAAAAGGGAGGAGAACAAAATGCAAGGAGGCTGAACTGACCCTTCATTCCGTGGCCCTTCAGCTAATCCAAGCTTAACGCTATCGTCCGATGGATAAGCATGAACTCAAGACACGCGGCAACTAGCCTTTAAGAGGGGCTGCATTAAAAATCACACTTCATGCTTTATATGCAAAACGGTTCCGCCTCCTGCACATTCAGAAAGCCTGACCCATGCTGTTAAAAATGACTACAACAAAGAAGACAATTTATATTTATTTGCGACCTTTTCTTTAAAGGATACACAGTCTTTGGGCTGCTTTCTAAAGATAAAGAATAGATAGTTTCTTAAAAAGCAGATTTCGCAGCCCGGCGAGGCGGTCCCGGGCCGGGAGCCAGCTCCTCGGCCCCCGCTGCAGCCCGGGGGCCGCTTCCTGTTGTAAGTGTGCTCGCAGGAAGCACCGAAGCCACAGTGGCAGCAGCTCGGATGGTTCGCCGGAGGCTGAGACAGGTTATATCACTCACACTCGGAGAGATCTGGGCAGTGAAACCAGTCGCTTCCCAGGGAACAGAAGCACAAACCTCGTGGGGTTAACTAAATGGTCCCAACGCACTTGGCTGAAAAGTGCAGATCTGAGCCCAGTCTGACCTACTCCAAAGCCCAGATTATAGTTTACGAAAAGAAAGTAGGAGACCTTTGTAACATCGAGCATGCTGGTGGGTGCCCGGCCGGTGCTTCACTGGTTGGGGCGCCGTCCCGTACACCAGAAGTCTGCGGGTTTGACTCCCAGTCGGGCACATATGGGAGGCAACCAACAGTGTTCCTCTCCCACATCGACGTGTCGCCCTCTCTGAAATCACTGGACATGCCTGCAGGTGAGGATCAGATGGACACACGGCCGTTTTACCGCCAGTGCACCCGACGACCCAGCTGTGGCGGCAGGAAGCCTTTCACCTGACGTTGGAAACGCCTTGTTCACCAGGGCACCGCTGTAGCCAACACCACTCTGTCCAGGCCACAAGAGATGCCCAGTGGTGCACACGTCTGGGCACTGGGCACGTGGCTGTGGCCCAGGAGAGCCACTACTCCAGACCACAGAAGTGGCCTTGACCTTCTCTGCATCCCCTTCACCTAACCTCCTGCTCCTGGGAAGCTGGTCCTAGGAACACGCCAATCACCGTTACAACTCCGCCCTCCTGTCATGGTGGCCACACTCTTCCCCAGCGGCTGCACCCGGCCTCCTCATTGGCTGCGCTCCTTCCCCACCCTCTTCACTTCTTCCCCCAGCCACTTACCCACCCTTTCTGTGCCCAGATCCTATTTGCTTCCAGTTCTGTGTTCTCTATAGGCCCTGGTTTCACTTGTCAGTCTATTTTTAAATTTTTTTTTCTTTATTGATTTGAGAGAGAGAGGAAGGGAGAAGAAGACAGAGACAGAAACATCGATGAGAGAGAACAATGATTGGCCCCCTCCTACATGCCCCCCACTGGGGCTCGGGCCCACAACCCGGGCATGTGCCCTGACTGGGAATTGAACTGGCGACCTCTTGAGGTGCACAGGTCAACCCCTGAGCCACACCGGCCGGGCTCACTTGTCAGTCTTCCATCTACACCTCGCAGGTGTGTGTGCTAACGGTGCTGCGGCCTGGGCAGTAACGGCAGGAAAAGCCCGGGGGCTGGCAGAAGTGTATACACAGACAGCCGAGGAGCCTGGGAGCAGCGACGGGCGGGGTCCCGGGGAAGCGGTGAAAGTCGGGGCACACAAGAGCTTGACATGCAGTGAGACGCTTTGACTTTACACCCCGAAGAGGGTGATTCTGTCTCGTGACTCACCATCTATAATTATATCTTGTCTACTGGGAAAATGATATAAACAAAAGTTTGAAAAATGCAGATTATATTAAAACATCAGTGATTATTGCCCTTTTGATCGACAAGTGCACCATGCGTCGTGCTGGTTGCTCCTTGCATCCTGACAGAGGGATCTAAATACTCGGAAGAATTACAGTGACTGGCCCTGGGGCACCAGGAGAAGTATGTTTGCTTGCACGCGGTTGTCTTTCCTGCTTCCTATTCACTCCAGCTTTATTTCAATCACAAATATTATCCAAATCGGTAAAAGTCTGACCATTTTGCAGTTTATCAAACATAATGTTATTAGCCCAAAAGTGGCTTCCAGAGCTTCCAACTCATTGAGATCCTTGACTTCTACATTCTCCAGATACGTAGATGTTCATTGGCAAGTTACATCCCACAAACGGGCCAATACTGAAACAACCACCAAGTTTGATTTCTAATAAAAAAAATGTAAAACACTGCAGGCCAACATCACATGTACCTTGATGCCTTTGGTGTCCTCTTCATCAAAGGAGCCAATGTCAAAGGCGTCGGCAGCGTTGACCTCCCCCCGGGGAGGAATCAAGGGTGGAGGATACTGGAAGACACAGAGAAGGAAGGCTGTTACTGGGGACCTGACGGCCCGCCCACCCGGCCATCCCACAGAGAACGCTGTAAGATCTTAACGGGCTACACTGTCTGCAGACAGGCTCAGACGGAGCGCGCGTTCCACAGATGAGCTTCCGCACTGAATGGATGCAAAGACGATCCCAGACCTTAGACACATTTAAGAAAAAATACAGACTTGTGTCCAAAGTTTTATATGATTAATAAATGCCTCAGGCCTGGGAAAGCAGGTCCCCAGGTGGTGTGGGACCACACCCCACGTGCCAGGCCCTTTGGACGACAGGCGGACAGCACGCCCCACCCCCAGAGGTCCCGAGCTGATGCTAACTGAACCCGGGCTTGAACCCTAGTTCCGATCAGGCAGGGCCAATAGGTCACAACTCCTCCACAGTTTGAGTTCATGCAAAAACGAGTCCACGGCTAATAACCAACATTTAAAAAAAAAAAACTTCAGTTTCGGGTGTTTTCCTGTATCATTGAGAATATAAAAATATCTTCAAATGAGGAACAGGAACTATGCTGATATATAATCATGCGGATTCTTAAATTATGTGGTGCTGGGCTAGAAAGTGTGTATAAGTTGATGACAAACGTTTCTTATACATTTTTATATGGAAAAATATAAAAATACAGTCACATATTGAGATAGGAAGTCATGAGCATGAGCTAAAGGAAAAGAGGCCTTAATTACATGGACATCTGTATTAGCTCGATAACAGCTCTGTGTCACTGTTTATCAATTTATACAGAAGATATTTCCAAAATGGTTAAGCTTGGGAATGGAGGGGCAGCAGTGGGCGGCCCGAGGCGGTCGGCCAGCCAGTCATACTTGGACAAAAGAGCAAGAAGGACACTGTGGCGGGAAGCTGGGGGTGGGCCGTGGGGACAGAACCAGAAGCAGGGACAGGGAGTACGGTGGGGCCCGGGGGTCGCGCCGGGAGCACCTTTTGCAAGTAGACGTGCTGCCAGTCGATGCCCTTGAAGAAGCCGTGCTCTCTGACTTCCTGAGCCCTGCAGGAGAGAGGCACAGCAGTGGTGAGACGCATGGGCACAGCTGAGAACACTCTGCAAGAACGGCCCCCCGCCAGGACACAGAGCGAGTCACGCACGCCCTTCAGAGCAGCCCGGAAACGCCGTCCCGTCTAGGAGTTCCGCGTGCCGGAGCTAGGAGTGCGGCCCCGCGCGGTCACGTATTTGGAACATCCATTCCAGCCTGGGAGAACGGAGGAGTTTTCACCGATCACGTATCTACTTATTTTTGCTGTAGGCATGAGAACACATTTAAGTACAAATTAAATCGGAGATCTACACATCAGAGGGACTGTGGCAGCGCCTTCGAGTCGCCGCAGGTGAAATGTCAGAACAGGAAGCAGCAGATACTCATTTCGAAACAAATTACGAGCCTAACAGAAGCGTGCGTGCCACTCGCCTGTGTAAACCGAGGTCACACCTTTTCCTGAGGATCGTTCTCAAAGCTCGTTCACACAGAAGGGAAAAAGCTGTGCCCCATGGGTAACGCTGTCAGGGACAGGCATGTCCCCAGGGTCCCACACCAACGGTTTCCCAGCCTGGCCTGGGGTCCTCCCCCTGCCCGGCCCCCGTCCTCTATAATCACTCTCTGGGCGATGTCGCCCTGCCTGGGCCTTTAAGTGCCCTGCACCTGCAGGTAATTCCCAGGTCTGCATCCCAGTGCCGACCTCTGTCCTTCGCTTCAGAAGCCCACGTATCCGGGTGCCCACCCGCATCTCCATTTAGACGAGGTCGAAGGTCCAAGCAGACTCCTGATCTTCCCTTCCACACTCACCATCGCAGGCCGACAAGCCAGGATCACCCCCATCCTTCTCGTCCCTCCTCTCCACAGCCCGCCCTCAGCAGGTCCTGGGCCTGACTACGTCCCCCCTCCGATCCTCAGAGCCATGCTCGGCAGGGCGCTGGTGTCCTCATCATGGAGGGGACGCTAAGGTCCTATACTGCATGCTTCTGGGAGAACACCGAGGATGCCCGAGCCACCGCCAGGCATGGGCACCCTCACCCGAACTGCCCCAGCTGTCTCCTGCCTCCCACCCTCCACTCCTGCCTCTGCAGGCCCCACCCTCTCTGTAGAGCACCCCTGTCACCTTCCCAACGACCTCACCTCTCCCGTTTGAAACCCTCCAAAGCCTTCCCATGGCACTTACAGCAAAATCCAACACCTCACTATATATGTACATACACATACACATACACATACACATACACATACACATACACATACACATACACATACATATACACATACACACACAATTAAAAATGCCCAGAGAGAAGGCTCTGGTTCAAGCCAGTAATCAAGTTCAGGCAGCAATGGCATTCCTTTCCAACAATCGCTAAAATGACAGAAGGGGAAGTGGAGACATAAACCCACCACAGTCAGTGATGAGGGACCATCAGCAGACAAGATGGGAGTGATGGAGGGGCAGCGACTGATGGCAAAACAGGACAGAGCCACCGCCCTGGGGACTGCGATGCTGAGCTCCAGGCTCATCTGTGTGTGGGGGGTGGGACACAGGCTGAACGTAGACTCGACTGGAACTCTGCACGCACGCGCGCGCACATGTACACATCATACCTTCATCCTCCACATCCAACCCCAAAACACCCGCAACTGAACTAGGTGTATATTCTGATGTGGGGGGCACCTCTGAAAGGTTCTACTTTTAGAAATTAAACCTGCTGAAGATTTTTAAAAGCAGTCAAAGGATTGGCTATGTACGCTTTCAGAAAGTAAAAGAATCAAGGCAAAGATGCAGATCATGTACAAGGTCGGGAGCAGAGATAGCGACTGCAGAAATCCCACATCCAACAGGAGTTCCAAGAGCTCACCAGGGAAACGCAGGGGAAGAAAGGCCGGAAGGAATCAGAGTGCTCCCCAAACCGAAGAACACAAGCCTGCCGAGGGAAGGGGACTCCACGTGCCTGAACTGAGCCCCGTGACCGGCGCCGACCATTCACTTGTACCCAATCAAGCAGCATCTTCAAAGTTCTGGGGGAAATGCTTATCGATTTGGAATTTTATATCCAGCCAAAACAGCGATCAAGTCTGAGGACGGCAGGAGGACACCTTGGATATGCAGGGACATGGGGTTCACCTCTCATCCCCTCTCAAGGACCTACTTGAAAAACATGCTCTAGCCAAAGGGTGGGAGCAGGGACCCACAGAAGCAGAAAGCATGGGATCGAGTGAATGACAGATTCAAACCAGGAGAGCAAACACGGGAAGTGTCAGCTAGGATGGCGCTGACTAGAGGAAGAGAGCATTCGGCTGTCCCTGGAGCAGGAGGCTGGAGCACTCCGTGAGAGACACTCAGGGCAAAGTGAGAGCCCACACATTCGTGGAGATCTCTACATACATCACACATGGACTCAGCGTTCATCACCAGGCTTGTGGAAACAGGTAATGAACACATGTAGGTTGCCATACAGTGTAAATACCACTTCTTCATTTGCAACTTTTGAAATCAGCTCATGTGCAAAAAGCATAAAGACTGGCAATGATTACAGAATAGGGAGTAAACAGTATCAACTTCACGATGTAAAAATCAAAAAGAACAATGACAGGAACTAGACAGGGCGGGAGGAGACAACAGTGACAGACAGGAATGCCGAAACCTCCCTTTTCCAAAGGGGGGACTCAAGATGCTGCTTATGATCGATGGAACAAGGCCCAGTGGGGTGGGTATGCGCTCTAAACCTACGAAGGTTAAGCAGAAGAGAAACCAAAAACAGCTCCAGTGACTGAGAAGGTGGTGGAAAGGGAAGGGGCTGTACAACGGAAGGAGTGAGCTGAATCTTCATCCGTTCCAGTAGGAATACGAAATGTCCCAAAGAGGAAATATGTGTGTTGCACATCATCTAGCTCCCTACATAATATATATAATACACAGATATAATATGCATACATATTCATATGCTACTCTACAATACACATATAGCCCTGGCTGGTTTTGCTCAGTGGTTAGAGCATCGGCCAGCGGACCAGAGAGTCCTGGGTTTGGTTCCCGCTAAGGGCACGGACCTCGGTTGCAGTTTGTCCCTGACCCGGGCTCGTGTGGGTGGCGATCAGTCGGTGTGTCTCCCTCACATCGATGTTTCTCTCTCTCTCTTCCTCCCCCTCTCCCTCCCACTCTATGTGAAGATAAATGCAAAAATGTCCTCGGGTGAGGATAAAAAAAAATCTTAAATACATACGTATACGTGACATGCATACATATAACATGGTTAAAAGCTGCTTCTTATGCAAAGCCTGGGGATAGGAGGGAAAGCAAGCCTGGGGGGGGGAACAAGGGACAGATCCGCTTCAAGTCCCCCATAAGCTTTCCAGGTGTCCTGGGGTTTTTCCCTTTTTTTTGCGGGGCGCTACGAAGACAGGGAGGGGGCGGATGGAAAGCACGTATACGATGGCTGTTAGTTATACATTAGAGAAAATATGTGATAATCTGTTCAGAATATTAAGCCGCCATAATTACAAATACAATCATTACTACATTAGTACTGATCATGACTAAAATGTAACCAAATGAACGACAAAATATCAGAATTCATTTCCGCCACCCACATGATCAATTTTTAAAGTGAAAAGGTTGGCATCTCCTCCAGCTTGTTAATTACAAAATGCATAAGACAACATACATACTTCCCGTGTGATATTCTGCCCCGCCCCCCCCCCCCCCCCCCGGAATCGAAATGGAAGATTTTTACAGACTGCGAAGGATTTTCAACATTTTGAAAGACTGTCTTGCTTTCCCAGGGAAGCTTCTGACAGGCAGAAACAGCAGCCTACCCGCCTCCGCGACAGCCAAGCCGCTTGCTGACTTCTCGCTGGAGCAGACCCTCCAGGAGGGACTTCAGCTCGGGGGAGAAGGTCTCTGGAAGTTCCACGTTCTGGGGGGAAAGGAGAACCCAGTCTCAATGTGCGTTCATGGGAATGGTGCCTCCCACCCCACCAGAAGCAAAGACCTCGTTAAAAATTACAGGTTCGTCACAAATTACTATTTCCTCTCGAGAAACTTAAAAACGGTTACTAATCATTTTCAAAGTCAATCCACAGGCTGGGGCCAGGTGAGAAAAAAAAGAATCATCTGCTATTTCCCCTTTTATTTGATTTCTTTCGTTTTGTTCTTGATCTTTCTTACTGGGCATTAGCTAATCTTGATTTCTGCCTTACTGTCTATTCCCCTTACTTTTTTTTTTGAGATTCTTCTAGGCATTGTATCTTCACGTACTTATTTTAAGAAAGCAAAATTTTACATCGGTTGTAATGGAAATATGAAATTGAATAAAAATAGTGTTTGATCTCCTTACCGCAGTGAGTGTCATCCGGTCTATTTCATGCTTATCTTTGGTTTTATGTTGTCTGAAAGGGCTGTGACTGTGGGGATAAAGGACACTCTGTTACAGCGTGGTCTCGGCCGACGTCGCACACAGCACCGACTAATATTTGGTAAGTACTGTGTCTGCCACTGTTCATTCAGCACCGATCGTTTCCCAGCGATCAGACACGGCAGGTCCGGAAAGAACAGGCTGATCTTGCCGGAGCCGCCAGACGCCGCGGCACTCAGACCCGCGTCAGCAAACACACTCCGCCCGATGGCTTCGAACAGCGTTAAAAAATTACCAGCCGACAAGTGGTCATGAAAGCGAAAGCTGCTCATACAACACTTGTCACGTTAGTGTTTGAGATAATAATTTTCAGTGTTTTTTTAGAAAAACGGTGATTGGTCCTTCAAACGACCCAAGGAGCTGTAGTCAAACCGAAAGGTGGCCAGGACGAACACGTGTCCTTCCCGGGCACCGGGCACTGTGCGCAGCGCCTGCCTTCGGTGACAAGGCAGAAACGAGTTCTGGGGCCGCTCGCTGGACCCAGCCCTGGCGGTCCCGCCGCCGGGTCCACGCCGTGGCTGGCGGCGCGCTGGCTGGGATCCAGCCACCCGAACCTTCGGCACCGGTCTCTTCATCTCTCCGCGGGCATGGCGCCACGTCCGTCACAGGACGGTGGGGCCCGGACAGCCCAGTGTGCCTAAGCCAGCAGCCCAGTGTCTACTGCAGGCACCGCTTGCGGGGCTCGCGAGATGAACCCCACTTTAGGAAACGAGTGTCTGCTTGATAAACTGCAAAACAACTTGTTCTCACTCTCGACCACGAGGTTAAAACCCAGGGGAAGCTGGCTGTGAAAGACCATCTGAGCATTGAGACTGGTTAACACGCGGATTAGAAAACCAGGGCCTTGTTCACTCATTTACTTGAAAATTAGAGAAGGGACAAATATGGTTAAGTTTTCTTTTCACAAGACTTGCCTGTGAAATTGCTGATCCTATAGATTTACTTATAAGGCACATGTAACAGAATTGGAGGTGACGTGTGACATATTTCCAAGTTAACTCTATAGAAAAGGATTGGAAGGTTGAACACACGAATCCATGGGATTGAGGGGAAAAAAATTAAATGCCCCTCATCTTTGCACTGCTCCTCACTGGAACGGACCAGGCCGTCCTACTGAGTAAGTTCAGTCATGCACTGAACCATCTCTTGATGAGATTATTACATTTCAGAGTATTTATTATCTGAAATATTTTCATTTTCATTTTGTACGAGAGAGGGCACTCTCACACTTTATTTGCTTTCTTACCATGCAATGAAATACAGAGTAATTTCCATCTCTTGAGAGCACTAATTTGAAAAAAAAAAATCTAAACAAGGAGAATTAGTACTAAGCAAACATACACTCATCTTTGAAACTGATTCTGATTGGGAATATTCTTTTTATCCTGACTGTTTCCATGGACAAAAATGTAAAACTACTACATCTGAAAAGCGAGTAAGATATAACAGCAAACAATACTGATGTGTTATTTATAAGGTACTAAAATGTTCCAAGCCCTAGCATCCTTCTTCTGTGCAAAATACAGAGAGATACGAACACATTCGTGGTTCAAGAGAAAAGGAATAAAGGTTGATGATTAAATCTTACTAGAACCTCGGTCTTTCTGCTCGACACAGCTGCTCCCACAGAGTACCTGGAGGTGTGAGAAGGGACTGCTGACGAGCTCGGGGTGCTGCGACCCCCGATGTGGCCCGTGTCCACGCGGGAGCCCTCCTGCTCTGCACCAGGGCCTGCCTGCGCCCTGCCTCACCGAGGACGGCTGTGGCCCACGGAAACGCTCTGTGTTCAATTTAAAACGTCTCCCGTGAGCGCAGACGGAGGCTCGCAGGGAACGGGAGCCGGAGCCCAGCACAGGGCCCTCTCCCCACAGCCCACGTTACAAACACAGCTCCTCTGTCCACCTCCAGGACAGACGGTCGGAAGTCGCTTCAGCCCTTTGGCTCTGCGCGGCGGGCCAAGAACATCTGGTCTTTCGAGTGAAAACCCTGATGTACGTGTTCTCAGCGTACTTCTTGATTATTCTTTGTGAACAAAACCGAAGATTCGGGTTCTATTCTGGAAAACGTTAAAGAAAACCTCCAGGAGGCACGGTCTGCGCTCGGAGTGAGGCGCGTGCTCACGGGTCCCGCGTGGTCTCAGCTGCCCCCGCGGCCATGGGCCTGCCCCGGCCCCCGCGGCGAGTTGGCTCCCCCGCCCGACCGCCAGGGAATGTTATGGGAACACTGCTCACGTGGGCAGAGGGCAGGTGTGGCTTGTGATTTACAGACGGAGACGGGGAGCTGCAAAGTTCCCCCAAACGAGTTTGGAAATCATTCAAAATAAGATAAATAATGGGACACACACACACACACACACACATGCACTATATTCACAGTGAAATGATGAGTTCAAAACCAACACCTTTATCATTACAAATGAGGCAAAACTCTTACACCAACCATTTAGAACAGCAAAGAGTGCAGGTTACACGCATTCTAACCCTGAGTCACCTGCCGCCAGGAGGTTTGTAAACATCCCTTTTTCTCCACGTGGAACAAACAACCATCTCAGGCAGAGCTCAGCTCCCCCAGGCCACCACGGGGGCTCTCTCATGTCTGATACCTTTGGAGACGACAAGCAATGATGACAGCTCAGCACCAGGCCCGGGTGGCACTGAGTCTTCTCTCTGAGGGACGTCTGAGACCCAGGCTGAGGATCCCGACGGCAGCCGCACACACGTGCACAAGGACACACCTTCGTGCACGGAGCTCTGAAGTACTGACAACAGCGTCCCTGCGGCAGCAGTGACCAGCACCCAGCACAGGCCTCTGAATGGCTCGGTCCGTCCCTGTGACGCAGGGATGCAAACACGTTCTCAGGCCTGGACTTCCTCACATCCACGTTCCTTTCCCTCCGGCCCTAAGCCGTTCTTGCAGGGTGTCTGACAAAACTCGGGGTGCTGAGAAGTGCTGCAGCAGAGGCTGGGGCGCGCACTGGTCCGTGCAGGAAGTACTCGAGCACAGGAAACAGACGTGAAAACGGCCCTTGGCAAGTGTGGCGTCAGCCTGACTGCACAGAGGCGGGAGGAGGGAAGACCTGCTCCCGAGCAGTTTCTCATCCTCAATGCTGTACGCTCTTGGGCGGACACTTCGTTGGGGCAGCGGGGGCTGTCCTGGGCAGTGGTAGCACCCTGGCCTTTTGCCCACTAGGTGCTGGACGCAGCCCCTCCCCAAGTTGTGGCGACTGGAAATGTCTCCAGGCCGAGCAGCCCCGGGGCCGAGGACGAGCGCTGGGCAGTGGCTGGCAGCGTCTGGTCCGTTCCCCAAGGACCGACACCGTGGCTGCCCTGTGAGAGCCCAGGATGCAGAGGGACTGGCTGCGGCCCGAGGGCCCCGGGCTCACCTCACCCTCCTCTCTGCTCGTTTTGGTTTCCTAGGCCTCGCGTGCTCAGTTCCTGCCGCTGGCGTAGGAGGGCCGCACAGGACGCTCTTGCTGCGTTTTCGAGCTTTTCCCACTTGCAACCTTGTGAGGAAGTGGAACAGGTGGGACAGGACATTTTCTGCTGGTTCCGAGCTGAGGGGACAAGAGCTCCTGGGCAGAGTCCGTCCCCTGCAGACCCCGTCCAGCACTTTGCTCCTGAAGGGCCCTCAGTAAACAGCTTCACAAGAACCGCTGACATTTCACAGCCAGTGAGTGGGTAATGCTATCACCAGTTACCTTGAATCGAAACAACCAGCTCTGCTTCAACTCCTTCCACACTCAAGCATCCACAGTAAACCAGCACAAAACAAAAACCACCATCCCCGTCCCGCTGTGGACTCTACCTACAGTGGGGCCAAGGCTTCGCCTCATTCTGGTCCCAGCATGGGTGCTGCCCGGGCGCTCCTTGTCACTCGCCAGGGCTCTGAGCCAGGCCGCCTGTCCCTGCCCGGCCTGTCCTGTCCCCACAATGCTCCACGCGCCAGCCAGATCCCCCTTAAGCAACAACCTGACCATGTCCCTCCCTTGCTTCAAAGCCTGCAGACACTGGGGCCTCGGGAACTGACTCCACAGCATGAATGCCAGGCTCTCCCCAGCCCCCCCTAATCTTAACCTTCTCTCAGCACATCCTTCCTCCGGACAAAGCTGATGCACCACTCACAGGTCACTGATGGGAAGACACCTGCTCCATACTGCCCCTGCCCATGGAGGACAAGTCCACTCCCACCCAAGCTCTCCTGTCGCCATCCTGTCTTTCAGAACCTACTTCACACATATTTCCTGCATGAAGTCGGCCCCACTCTCCTTCAGGACTGGCACCCCCCTTCTGGGCTGCTCCCCAGCCCCCTGCTACTGTGTACGTCAGCACCGCCCACCTGCTCAGAGCTCTCAGGTTCCTGAAGGGCTGCCCGCGCCCCGCCCCACCCCGTTCCTGTCTTCCTCTCCCCACGGCACCAAGCAGTCCTGCATATTATAGGTGCTCTAAATGCTCACTGCATTTAACTTAAACCCTTAAACCAAAAAATACTTCCCCGCTCTTTGGTCGCAGTGCACATCCTTTCCCGTGAATGGCTTTTGAATGACCAAATGACATTAGACCATAAACCCTCATGAGAGAGATCCCCGGAATCCGATCCATTATACACCGGGAGGATTCTTCCTGTTTCGGCTCAACAGGCGGTCACCAGACAGTGACGGGAGCTTGCTATCCGTGAGGCAGGACACACCGCCCCGGGCAGCTCGTGCCTGCAAGGGCGCTCCTGTGCCAACCTGAAATCCTCTCCTGTCCTCAAAACGCCCCCCTCTGCAGCTATGCAGCATGACTTCCAGCCTGTCAGTTAGATGGGCCCCCCTGGACACTACACGCAGGTCCTTCGACCTTCCGTGAGCCAGGACTTCTAGCTCTTCCTCTTCTCTTCGTCCTCACAGCCAACCCCTGGATGACTTCCTTGTCGCCCAAGACGCCTCTCCATAGGCGCCACCCAGAACGCGATGGCTCACCAAGCCCTGCACAGAGGAACCATGGCTCCCAATTCACCCTTGGAACCTCAGTTATGGCCAAACAAGGCTGAATGCACATTGTTAACCACACGTCGTGATGCTGGATCCTACAGTGTTATTAAACAAAACCGCGAATCTCTAAAACAAGGTGCTGCTATGCTGTGTCGCCCCTAAAGTACATGCATGGACGTTACGGTGGGCAGAATAACAATACTAAAGGAAGAAAGAAGAGCACCCAGCCCCAAGCGCAAGGCTTCTGCGGCCTCCCCTGTATCATCTCACGGTAGATTTCTGTGTCTGGAATTAATGTGTTCAACCGTCGAGCTGCTCTGCAGTTGTTCATCATCTTGAACTTCTTGTAAGTGTGGATTCTGTATCTCTGACCTCATCTCCACCGGAGACCCGGGCAAAGACCCCGGCGAGTCTGCACGCGCTCACCAGGCGCGGGTGACCCCGCCGGGGGGGAGGAGGTCTCGTGTGGAAGCGGCTTTCTCTGGTTAGCCTTGCAGAAGCTCTCTAATTAGGTCAGGGAGTCTGATGGCATAAATTAAGGCCATCCAGGCTCCACAAACACAATAATTCAATTCCGGACCAACAAGACCTGACTCTGAGCAATAGCACGGGGTGAGCAGAGAACTGGGTTATCAGAGTCCCGAGGAAGCAGCAAGGGTGCTCCGAACCGAGCTTGGGGCCGAATCCTGGAAGCCAGCCTCCTCCTAGGAGGTGCTGGCAGAATGAGGAGACTCGGCGTGCAAGGAGGCTTCCTGGAGGAAAGGGAGAACTCGGCAAACACCGGCCCTGCGTGTCTCGGGGAGAAACACCAGAGGAGAAACCCTCACGAGGACATTTTACTGGAATGCACTTTCTGTCTCTTTGTGAATGAGGAATAATCAAAACGATATCTGGAAGACTTAAGCTTGCTATTAAAATTGGCTAAAAGCTCTTAAAACGAATGGAAATACAAACACTTTTTAAACTTGCGACAGGAAAACATCTGAGGGTGATTTCACGGCATCACCTTTTCACTCTCTTCTGTCGCTTTTGCTAGTTTAGGACTGAGAGTCAAACATAACACAAATCATTCATTCATTCATTCATTCATTCATTCATTTATTTCCTCACCCGAGGACATTTTTCCATTTTTTGTTCAGATAGAGTGGGAGGGAGAGAGAGGAAGAGAGAGAGAGAGAGAAACATCGATGTGAAAGGGACACATTGAGTGGCTGCCACCCACACGACCAACCAGGGCCGGGGACAAACTGCAACCGAGGTACGTGCCCTTAGCGGGAACCGAACCCGGGTCTCTCTGGACCGCAGGCCGACGCTCTAACCGCTGAGCCAAACCAGCCAGGGCTCACATAACACATTAATTAAAAAATACCAAATTACACAATTTCACTTTTGCATTTTTAAAACAAACTGGCTTCATCCCAGGTCTTCAGCCAGTTCTATGACCTTGAACATGACCTCAGCTCACAAGCCAGTCCTGAGTGATTCATTTCCAGGGAAAAGAAACCCTAGCTCCTTCAGTTACCCACATTTTAAAATGACACTTATTCTCAAACAAGGCGTATCAATGGAAACATTTCAAAGCCGTCTAATTTTATTATTTTTTAATTTTTAAAATGTTTTCAAAGCAGCCTTCTAGACTGAAGCATGTTGTAATTCCCACGTGGTATGGAACAAAAGCACCAGCCCATGGCTTCTGTCTACGACCTTATGGGAGCAGAGACCCTGTCCCTAGACGGCAGGAAGGGCCACTCAGCACTGAGACCAGCGTGTGGCTTCAAGTCCACTGTGTGATTCGAAATCACACTGGGCCTGATGCGGTCTAAGCAGTCTGGGCTCGGACCCGCACTCGCCCGCGTCCAGCCCCAGGACGGACCCCTTCACTCACCCTCTCAGAAGTTTGAACAGCATGCAGCCCAGGGAGAACCAGTCGGCACTGCTGTCGTACGCCGTCCCCTTCTGCAGGACCTCGGGAGCCATGTACCCATGGGTGCCCCTGGGAGAAGAAGCACGATGCGTTGTCAGAACATGTCCCCTCACACGACACTCACCGCTCACCACGAGGTTCTGCCTCGGTCACTAAACGGCAGCAGCTGTGAACAAGGGACAGGGGACCATGGAGCTTCCATGTCAACACGATTCATCCAACACCCAATGGGGAGACAGCCTCTTCTGTCTTAACTAGCGTAGAAATTCACAGACATGAATCACCCGCTGGAATAATGTGAAGACTAGCCCGCCCTCGAGAAAGCAGAATCCGAATCTGGCCGGTCCCTTCCCCGTGACAGCTGTGAAGAGCTGAAGGTCTCTGCCAACCTAAAGCGCTGGTGAGGAGCCCCGCAGGGATGGGGGGCAGGGAAAAGAGGGGGACAAGGAGCAGGCGACCACACGGCAGGGCTGTGGGCCTCGCAGGGAGGGACCTGCTCCCACATGCTAAGGTGGGGCTACTTCCTGCGAGTCGGACAGAACCGGATTTTCATTCTGGCCCCACAATGCGCCAGATACGTGACCTTGGTCAAGTTACCTAATGCTTCCGAACCTCAGTTCCCACCGTAAGAGGGAGATAATGCTGTCTCCGGGCTGCAGAGCTTCTGTACGATAACCACCTATTCAGAGCGGCCAGCCGCGCACACCTGCTGCTCCACGGCACACGAGCCTGTGGCTGCTGACCTGCTGCTCCATGGCACCCGAGCCTGTGGCCGCGCACACCTGCTGCTCCACGGCACACGAGCCTGTGGCTGCGCACACCTGCTGCTCCACGGCACCCGAGCCTGTGGCTGCGCACACCTGCTGCTCCACGGCACACGAGCCTGTGGCTGCTGACCTGCTGCTCCATGGCACCCGAGCCTGTGGCCGCGCACACCTGCTGCTCCACGGCACACGAGCCTGTGGCTGCGCACACCTGCTGCTCCACGGCACACGAGCCTGTGGCTGCGCACACCTGCTGCTCCACGGCACCCGAGCCTGTGGCTGCGCACACCTGCTGCTCCACGGCACACGAGCCTGTGGTCGCGCACACCTGCTGCTCCACGGCACACGAGCCTGTGGCTGCGCACACCTGCTGCTCCACGGCACCCGAGCCTGTGGCTGCTGACCTGCTGCTCCACGGCACACGAGCCTGTGGCTGCTGACCTGCTGCTCCATGGCACCCGAGCCTGTGGCTGCGCACACCTGCTGCTCCACGGCACACGAGCCTGTGGCTGCTGACCTGCTGCTCCACGGCACCCGAGCCTGTGGCTGCGCGCACACCTGCTGCTCCACGGCACACGAGCCTGTGGCTGCGCACACCTGCTGCTCCACGGCACACGAGCCTGTGGCTGCGCACACCTGCTGCTCCACGGCACCCGAGCCTGTGGCTGCTGACCTGCTACTCCACGGCACCCGAGCCTGTGGCCGCACACACCTGCTGCTCCACGGCACACGAGCCTGTGGCCGCGCACACCTGCTGCTCCAACGGCACCCGAGGCCTGTGGCCCGCGCACACCTGCTGCTCCCGGCACCCGAGCCTGTGGCCGCGCACAACCTGCTGCTCCACGGCACCCGAGCCTGTGGCCGCGCACACCTGCACCCTAGCCTGTGGCTGCGCCACCTGCGTCCAGCCCCGAGCCTGTGGCTGCTGACCTGCTGCTCCATGGCACCCGAGCCTGTGGCTGCGCACACCTGCTGCTCCACGGCACACGAGCCTGTGGCTGCTGACCTGCTGCTCCACGGCACCCGAGCCTGTGGCTGCACACACCTGCTGCTCCACGGCACCCGAGCCTGTGGTCGCGCACACCTGCTGCTCCACGGCACCCGAGCCTGTGGCTGCGCACACCTACTGCTCCACGGCACCCGAGCCTGTGGCTGCTGGTAGTGCCCCCGCGCCCCAGGCACCTCCCGGCCAGCTCCCTGGGCTGCAAGTCCCAGGCGGCCAGGGACCCTCTGTCCTGTCACCATGGCAGTGCCAGCAGCCAGCGCACCGCCGGCGGAGTGTGAATACCCGCTGCGTTGACTCGATGACTTAACCCTCACAACTGCCATGTGAAGCCAACATCAGTGTGGCCTCCTCTTCACAGAGGAGAAAAGTCAGGTACAATCAGGGGGCCCGGACCCAGACCTGCCGGCTCAAAGCCTCGTTCGCAGCCACAGCAAACCTCCTTGGCTTAAAATCACGGGGTTTCATCGCGTGTTTGGATTTTGAAGTAGTGGCCTCGCTATGACCACCTAAACGTGGAAGCCAACCTTCCCAATCCTGCCCTTCACAGGCGCTGCTCAGGTCCTCCCCGGCCATGCTCCGAGCCGACGCGGACGGCAGCGAGGAGCGGGGAGGCTCCACGGGGAAATCGGTAACCGCGCCTGAAAGTTACGGGTACGGAAGATGAACTCTTACGAGCTCTTGGGCCCACATGCAGCTGGGACTTGACTAAACTGAAGAAATTAGCAAACCAAGCAGCCGGGACAGGAAAAATTCAAACGACTCTCAAAAATGTCTGAGGAACTCACTCCCCGGGAGGAGCGCACACCGCCGCGGGTTCTCGCCTAGCAACCGCAAGTCCTGTCCACACGCTAACGCTCTCATCACCGCACCGGATTCTGCAGAGAGAGAAGCGTGTTGACAGGACGGGCGCCGTTCACTGTTAACTTTTGGTCGCAGCTTCAAAAGGCAACTGTGACTTTACGCAGGCCCTTGGAAAGCGCTGCAACTCAGAACCTCTTCACTGCCGGGCCACACGGAAGGGTCTGGGCTCTGTTTTCCGCTCGGATGAATGAAACCAGCCTCCTGGGGGTTTCTTCATGACCATTCAACACAGAGATGAGTGTTAGCTCAAGAGGTACAATAAAATGTAATTTCAGAAGAAGGATACGTTTAAAAGGAAAAGAACAAAGCAAAGGTCATGTGCTTTTCCACAAACTACACACCTGGCCATGTTTCCCACCCAGATAAATTGATGAAGAAATACGAATGAAAACCCCCGCGATTCCATTCTGTGTCTGCAGAGCCCCGGGACATTCCTGCTGCCGTGTTAACAAGCCCAGGTCCGGAGAAGTCCTCGGGCCTGTGTCAACGTGCACTGGTCAAGCATGGTCACCGCCAGATGCAGTGCAGGGTCCGCTGAGGGGTCAGGTGCTGGTCACTCAGGGACTGATGTAAGACTCAACTCTAACATGACTCACGTTGAAAAGCTTGGACTGCAAGTAGATGGGTGGTGTCGTTTTTATAATTAAAAAATAGTCCTAATTTTTTTCAGGAAAAAAAAAAAGTTGTTTTGAAAAGGAAGGAAGAAGTCAGTGGAGAAACTTGGCCTCTGGCCGGCCTTGGGGGTTCTGCCTCTGCCCTTCCACCTGGACTTTCCCGTTTCTCCTTCTCACGACTTTCAGAGACTTACTACTACCTCTACTTTATAGGCGGTACCAAGGGTCCCACAAGTAAAATGACTGACACAGGGTCACACGGCCAGCATGGATTCGGGTCTGCTGCCAAGGCCTCTCTTCCAACAGGCCACCCGTCCCTGTGCAGGGACCCTGGGCCGTCAAGACTCCGCAGACAGGGAGCGAGAGCGCAGACAGCTCTTACTTCCTCCTCCCTGGCTGGGCATCATCGTACACTGAAAACCGCTGCTGGCAAGAGAAAACGGGGTGGGGGCAGGGCAGGGCACGTGGCCAGGGCAGGCCTGAGCGAGCGACCAGGTTGCAGCGGACAGACGACAGGGAACAGAGTCGACGCACTACTCACACACTCGCGTGCGGCTTCTTTTTGGAGAAATCGCAGGCCAGACCGAGGTCGGATATCCTGACGTGTCCGTATTCATCCAGGAGGATATTTGCGGGCTAAAGGGAAAGAGAGGAGGACCTTCGAGAGCTGCCCAAGTGCCGCCGAGGCTCTGCCGGCCTCTGAAACTGCAGCCCCCGGTAGCGCATTATTTGATCAGTTTCTTCCCGGACACAAATTCTAGCTTTCTATCATCACAGCCAAGTAGGGCATGACAGCCGGAGGGACATGTTTCATGTTAACTCGGCGGAAGAGTGGCCATGGCGGGTACGAAGGGTTCCATCGCTTGGAAGACGAACCCCGGGCAGGGAAGTGGGGAGGCGGAGACGCAGTTCGTCAGGGTTCAAAAGCTCGCTCTTCTGAGGGCGGCCCGGCCAGCACAGCGCCTCTCGACAAAGGCAGGGCGCCCACCGGCTTCGTGGCTTCTGGGAACCACAACGACTTCTGAGAAGGAGACCACGGAGCAGAAAGCAATCTTGCAAGGAGGTACCGGCACCGACCTAAGAAATCCAATATTCCATAGGCCACACCAGCCCCAGTCAATGTCATCTCTGTTTACTGCTGCATGATCCACCAAATGACCAAATAAAATTTTGACCACAACGCTGATGAAATGTAGCCATGAAGATTAGATTTAGTCAGCATAATCACGGAAAACAAAGCTCCTCTCCCTAATATACATTGAATTACAGGCATCTTAATTTTTTTTTTTTCTGCTGGAGATCAACTATTGTTTTGCTTGAAATAAAAATAATGGCATGCTATTATAAAAATGGAGCATGAATAATCATGAGTGACTGGCATTAACTTGGAACAGAAATTAAATAATACCACTGCCTACTAAATAGCTTAGAAAACAAAACCACAGCATAAAGACGATTAGAAACCGGTTACAAATTCAAATTAAAATGCATTACAATAGTACTTTATAGGCCTTCAGCGTGCATTTTATTCTTCTGCAAAACTCGCATGAGGAAAGAAAATATCATTTGCCAGCCAGTGTCTAATTGTTTCTAATTGGACAAAAATACATTTTTTCCTTCTTTATGCTCATGTGCAAGTGAAGAGAATAATTCTTTAAACTTTGGAGAACGTTTTAAAATGTACAAAGTATTCTGTGGAGGAAAAAATGTGCTCAAAAATAAAATATTCTAGATTTTAGAAGGTAACTATAAAAGAAAATCAAAACATGTTTGCTCCTGCCCCGGCTTGTGTGGCTCAGTTGGCTGGAGCGTCGTCCTATACACCAAAAGGTGGTGAGTTCGATTCCTAGTCAGGGCACATGCCCAGGTCGTGGGACTGATCCCTGGCCCAGGGCACGTTGGGAAGGCAACCGGTCGATGTTTTTCTCTCACATCAATGTGTCTCTCTGTCTCTCCCTCCCTCCTCTCTCTAAAAAATCAATTTAAAAAACAAACACGAAGAGCAAATTTATACACTCAGCTGGCTACCTGTGGTTCACTGAAGCAGGAGTCTGAGGTGGAGGCAAACTCCCCTAGAATCCTCTCACCTGCTGGGAACTCTCTCCTATCACTTTCTCAGCCCTACCTGCACCTTCTGTTTTGTTTTGTTTTAATCCTCACCAGAGGATATTTTTCTATTTTATTTTCAGATAGAGTGGGAGGGAGGGAGGGAGAGAAACATCGAGAGACACACATTGACTGGTTGCCTCCCGCAAGACTCAACCAGGGCCGGGAACGAACCGCAACCGAGGTACGTGCCCTTGACCAGAATCGAACCCGCGACTCATTGGTCCGCGGGCCGATGCTCTAACCACTGAGCCAAATCGGCCAGGGCACTATCTGCACGTTTTATAGTTGCAGGATCACTTCTACAGTGCGTCACGGTCCCTTTCAAACTGTGGGCTGGATGAGTGTCCCCACAGACGTACTGGGCAAACTCCCACCCCCCTCATCTGGGCGGAACCCAAGACCAAGCACCATGGTCTGACGAGGAAAACTAAGAAGAGACTTGTTTTACTTTTTCAGCTCTGGGGAGATTTTCAAAATTGGTTTGTTATTTAATCCCCTACTCCATTCTGCCAGCCATCAGCTAGCTCGCTACATCTGAGGGTCCATTTGTTTTCTTTCTTCATCTGTTTTGTCTGTTTGTGTGTTTAGATTCCACATATAAGTGAAATCCTTTTGTATCTGTCTTTCTCTGTCTGACTTCTTTCACTGAATACCCTCTGGATCTTTCCATGTGGTCGCAAATGGCGAGATTTTCCTCTTTGTTCCTTTATTTTCTATTTACTATTTATTTTTCTTAATTTACTTGCTTCCACAGGCCAGCGAGATTTTAAAGAAAAGAGGAGAAGCCCAAGCACGGCACGCTGGGGTTCTGAGTTCAGGGATCCAAACACCCACTTCTCCGAGGTGTCTCGGCGAGGCTCCGGCACCGGCCTTCGGGGACGTTCTGCAGGCCGCTCGGCCTCACCCACGCGAGCTGTGACCCGGCCAGCGGGCCTTGGCTCACCGGTGTGTCCTGTGACACCTGTGTCCTCTGCTCGGTACCTCTGCATAGCTCCAGTTCCAGCACAGAGCCGGGGCCCACCAGTTGCTTAGTGAGTACTAACTGAACTGCAGTTCACTGTAAAACTCCTACCCCGCTTCCCATGAATTAACCACTTAAAATTTCTGAAGGAGCGTAGGAGCTGCACCCCAGGCACAATCAGGGCACCGAGGCGACAGGAGCCCTGGGACAGACGTGAGCCAGAGAATAGAGTTGAGAGTCTGGAAGAGACCAACCTCACACAGATGACAGCTTCCTGGGGGCTAAGACGAGGAAAGCCACAGGGTGTGACGAGAGACAAGGGAGCATGGGGAGCGCGGGACCCACACCTCGCACCACCCCGCCTCCGGAGCCCGCCCCGCGGCCTCACCTTCAGGTCTCGGTACACGACGGAGCGGGTGTGCATGTGCTCCAGCCCCAGGATGATCTCCGTGGCGTAGAAGCGCATCTCCGTCTCAGAGAACACGCCGTGCTGCGACAGGTGATAGTGCAGATCGCCCCCTGGAGTCGGAGACACGAAATTTAACTTGAAAACTGTCCTGAAGAGCTGGGACGCAGCAGAAAAACTCTGCTTTGTCTACCTGCCTATCTCTGAGTTCTGCAGTTTGACAAAATGCTCCAAACACTGAAGAGGAAACTCAGCCACGGGGACGACTTCAGGGCAGTGGTGACTGGGACAATGTCAGAGTCACCATTCCCAGATGGCAGCCCAGCTCCCAGACACACCCGCAGGGTGGGATTTGCTCTTCTGCTTGGAGGACTTAAGTCCAGTCTAACAGCTGAATCAGCCTCTAAGTGGTGATCCAGCAGCTGGCCTAGCAACTGGCTCTGCGGACAATAAATCAATAAACTGGTCACACTGATAGACAGTTCATAAAGCAAACCCAGGAAAATGTTTTAAATGTGTTTTTCAATTATAGTTGACATATAATATCCTATTAGCTTCAGGTGTACGACAGAGTGGTTAGACATTTATATACCTTACACCACTGATCACCCCGATAAATCTAGCACCCATCTGACAGCATTCAGTTATGACAATATTGTTGATGATATTCCCCATGACAGCCTTCGCATCTCGGTGACTGTTTCTATAACTGGCCATTTGTACTTTTTAATCCTTTCACCGTCTTCATCCATCCCTCCAACTCTGCTCCCATCTGGTGGCCAGAGTTTCTGCTTTGTTTGTTTCTTCTGTTTTATAGATTCCACATAAGAGAAATCACACAGCATTTGTCTTTTTCTTATTTCAGTTACTATAATGCCCTTAAATCCATCAATATTATCACAAATGGTGAGACTTCATTCTTTTTTTGTGGCTGAATAATATTCCATTGTACATATGTACCACATCTTCTTTTTTTTTTATCCTCACCTGAGGACATTTTTCCATTTTTTTGTTCAGGTAGAGTGGGAGGGAGAAAGAGAGAAACATCGACGTGAAAGGGACACATCGAGTGGCTGCCACCCGCACGACCAACCAGGGCCGGGGACAAGCTGCAACGGAGGTACGTGCCCTTAGCGGGAACCGAACCTGGGTCTCTCTGGACCGCAGGCCAACGCTCCAACCACTGAGCCAAACGGGCCAGGGTGTGTACCATATCTTCTTTATCCATTCGTCCACACACACTTGGGATGCTTCCATATCTTGACTATTGCAAATAAATACAGTAAAATTTTCACTGGTAAAATCCAGGTTGGGGTATTTGGGTGCCCCCAGAAAAGTTCTTTCGACTTTGCTATACATTTGGAATTTTTCATAATAAAACACTGACAAAGGCAAAGAAGCCCATGGCTTACAGGTACAGTCAGAAAATACCACCAACAGGGTAAGAGAATGTTTTTATCAACTTGAAAGGGAAGAAAACGCTGCTAGTGATCTCTAAAAGTTACTGTGTCCAACTACTGCCCTGGCTTTTACAAGTATCCCCCTTTCTCGCACCGATACCACATCCGATGTAGGAGAGCCCAGCATCCCAAAGGCTCCCGCGTGCCCTCCCCAGTGGGTGCCACGGCTCCAGCCCCAGGCCAGGCAAAGGGAACCCTATCTGACCTCTCTCACCACTGCCTGGTGTTGCCTGTTCTGACCATCACATAAACAGAACCGTGTAGAATACATGCTGCTGTGTCTGGCTTCTCTTGTCCATGATTATGTCAGTGAAATTCCTTCGTGTGGTTGGGCAGATCCAGTCTTAAATCAAACACTCAAAACATAATAAAACTTCACGCGCACGTCAAGAAAAGTACTTCACTTGTTTAACTGTATGCCTTTTTGTTCCAGCTCTTGTTACTAAAAATAGTTTCAGTCTCCACCATGTCACTTGCTAGTATTCAAACTTTTTTTTTTTTCGCCAAAGCTTTTTCGGCATTCTAAGGGTCATCATTCATTCATAGTTGAAAAGATCAGTGGACAGTTGATCTTGGCTACAGGTACAGAAAATTAGACGAAAATCCCCTTCTGGTTTTTAAATACATTTACCTATATTCTTAGGAGACACTTCATGCCTGAAAGTTGAGGGGCAGGAAACAAGCTACTGAAAGATCTAGACCAGCTGCATTCCAGAAAGTCAAGTCTCACTGTAAGTATTTTATGAAAATCCTTTCTAGAAAATGCACCCTCCTGGGGAAAGTCTGGGATGGCCGGAGGGAAACCGTGGTTTAAATAAACAGTTTAAATAAATTTTAACTGAAGACTGGAGAGTGAAAGGGTTCCCTCATCTTCAGGGGCAAACTCATTCTCTGAACGACCCCGCCAGCCTGCCTGCCCAGATCCCTCTGCTCAGGTGTAACATCACGGCCGAGCCTGTCGGTGTGCTCAGACTCACCGTTCATCAGGTCCAGGATGAAGCAGAGCTTGTCTGGAGTGTGGAAGGCGTAGGTCATACAGACGATGAAAGGGCAATCCTAGGGTGGGAAGAAACAAAAATGCGTAAGCAAAGCAAAGGCTTCCCTGAAAAGCACATCTGCTACGGAACCTCAGCTCCAGGTTTCTGCACCAGGCCACTGCCCTGCGCCCTGAGCAGACCCCTGCCTGCTGACTCGTCACAGGGAACAGACCTGCACAACACTGCTACGGGGCACAGGCGAACTCCACGGTCCTCCCACCCAGACCCGTCGGGACTCTTCTGTCTACGCCTTCTTCCAAAAACTCAGGCTAGAGAAAACCTGCGGCCTTGCTAGTCTTTCCGTTACTCTGCATTTTGGCTCTGGCAGGCCAGCTACCCATCTCCCTCTCCGATTCTGCAGTGGAACAACCGTACCACGGGGGATCAATGTTATCTGTATCACTGCCTTGAAACACCGAGGAAAACAGTGACATTAAATTAGCTTTTGAAAGTAAAAAACATACCAGGGTCAGAGACTGCGTAACTCAGGTGTAACAATGTCGGTTTCCCCCAAATTGATGTAAAAATCCCAAGCAGCCCTGGCCGGTTTGGCTCAGCGGTTAGAGTGTCGGCCTGCGGTCCCGAGAGACCCCAGTTCGGTTCCCGCTAAGGGCATGTACCTCGGTTGCAGTTTGTCCCGGGCCCTGGTTGGTCGTGCAGGTGGCAACCACTCGACGTGTCCCTTTCGCATCGATGTTTCTCTCTCTCTCTCTCTTCCACTTTGTCTGAACAATAAAATAAAAAAATGTCCTCAGGTGAGCATTAAAAAAAATAAAAATAAATAAAAATCCCAAGCAATCTTAATTAAAAATGGAAACTGACAAGCTGATTCTGAAATGTATATGGTAACGCTGACAGCCAGGAAAAGTTTATATACTCTGGAAGGAAAACAAAGCCGGAAAACTCCCAGTGCCAGAGATCAAGACTTATTTTTAAGTAACAGTAATAGACAGTGTGCTAGTAACCCAAGGACAGACAGCGGGCCGGTGGAACAGCACAGAGAATCCTGACATGGAGCACGTGACAGCGGAGGCAGGCAGGCGACCTGTTCACCGGTGCTGCGGCAGCTGGATTCCTGCTCAGCGCAAGGTGAGCAGCCGGCTCTCCCGCACCCCACACTGAAGCCCGCTCTAGGCAGACACAGAGCTAACGGTAAAACAATAAAGCTTCTAGACGAAAGCAAAAGACAGTACCTTCATGAACTTAGGTAAGTAAAGATTTCTTCCACAGGACACAAACAGCACGAACAATAAAACCCGGAAAAACTGGACCACAGAAGACCCCATTAAGAAAGTAAAAAGGGGAGTCACAGAGTGGAAAAAATACCTGCACTCCACAAACGCAATGACTCTCACTTAGAATATAGAAATAACTCTTCTTGTACGTCAACAAAGAAAAAAGCAATCAACTCAATAGAGAAATGGCAAAAAATAACAACAACAACAACAATGATGAAATGGGCCCTTCACGGAAGAGGCTATCAAGGGATCCACACACCTATGAGCACGTGCTGCACCTCAGGGGTCCCCAAGGAAATGCAAATTAAAAATCACAACATGTCATCTCTGGAACTCATAAGACTTGGCTAGACTTAAAAAGACTGACAACAGCCCTGGCCGGTTTGGCTCAGCGGTTAGAGCATCAGCCTGAGGACCAAAGGGTCTCAGATTCCATTCCCAGTCAAGGGCATGTTCAAGGGCACGTACCTGGATTGCGATTCGATCCCTGGCCCCAGTGTCAGGGTCGCACGGGAGGCAACCAATGCAGATCATGTCGATGTCTCTCTCTCCCCCCTCTCTCACTTCCACTCTATCTAAAAATCAACAGGAAAGGATCCTCCGGGGCGGAGTAACAAGAGAAAAGCAGACGCCAATACTGAAAGTATGAAGTCGGAGGAGGCCCTACACACGGCTGCCAGGAGGGTGCCACAGTGCAGCTACTTCACAAACCGTCAGGTGGCGTCTGCCGAAGCTGAGCACCACCTGCAAACCCTGCGACCCAGCACTTCTGCTCTGGGCTGTACACCTCACAGGAATCTGTACACCCCACGGGAATCTGTACACCCCAGGGAATCTGTACACCCCAGGGAATCTGTACAACCCAGGGAATCTGTACACCCCACGGAATCTGTACACCCCACGGGAATCTGTACACCCCACGGAATCTGTACACCTCACGGGAATCTGTACACCCCACGGGAATCTGTACACCCCAGGGAATCTGTACACCCCACGGAATCTGTACACCCCACGGGAATCTGTACACCTCACGGGAATCTGTACACCCCAGGGAATCTGTACACCCCACGGAATCTGTACACCCCACGGGAATCTGTACACCTCACGGGAATCTGTACACCCCATGGGAATCTGTACACCCTAGGGAATCTGTACACCCCATGGGAATCTGTACACCCCACGGAATCTGTACACCCCACGGGAATCTGTACACCTCATGGGAATCTGTACACCCCACGGGAATCTGTACACCCCACAAAATCTGTACACCTCATGGGAATCTGTACACCCCACAAAATCTGTACAGCTCACGGGAATCTGCACAGCTCACGGAATCTATACACTTCATGGAATCTGTACACCTCATAGGAATCTGTACACCTCATGGGAATCTGCATACCTCATGGGAATCTATACAGCCCACGAAATCTGTACACCCCAGGGAATCTGTACACCCCACGAAATCTGTACACCTCATGGGAATCTGTACACCCCAGGGAATCTGTACACCCCATGAAATCTATACACCTCATGGGAATCTGTACAGCTCACGGGGATCTGCACACCTCACGGGGATCTGCACACCTCACGGGGATCTGCACACCTCACGGGATCTGTCCAGCTCACGGGATCTGTGCACCCCGCGGTAATCTGCGCACCCCGTGGGGAAACTGCACACCCCGTGGGAAAACTGCGCACCCTACAAGATTCGCACACCTCATGGGAATCCGCACCACTCACGGCATCCGCATCGCTCACGGCATCCGCACCGCTCACGGGAATCCGTGCACCTTATAGGAATCCATACACCTCACGGGAATCCGTACACCTCACGGAATCTGTACTTATACACCCAGAGGACTGCACAGGGATGTTCCTCACAACTATTCAAAATAGCCTGAACCAGCACATAACCCAAATGTCTACCACATGAGACTGGATACCTAAATTGTGGCATATGTATGCAATGGAATTCCAGAGCAAAAGGGTACCTTTTCCTACAAAGGCTAGACAGTAAGCATTTCCGGCGTTGCAGGCCCCATACAATCTCTGTCATCCAGTCTTTGCTTATTTTCTTTACAATCGTTTAAAAACAGCAAAGCCATTCTTAGTTCACGGGCTGTACAAAAAGAGGCCACGAGCCAGCTTCGGTCCACGGGCTATACATAGCTGGCTGAGCCCTGTATTTAGCTACGGAATGCGCGACGGCCGTGCGCGATGGCACAGAGGCATGTCCCCAGCAACGCTGAGTGAGAGGAGCCACGCACAAAAGAGAACGTCTATATAAAGTTCAAACACAGGCAAAGCTACATTGTGGTGCTGGAAATCTGGGCAGCGGCTAGCTGGGCGTGGGGTGGGCAGCTGGAAGGGGCACAGGGTGGCTTCTGGAACACTAGCGACTGTCTCGTGATCTGGGCGCTGGGTGCACGTGGTTCCCTTGCGAAGACTCGCCCGTGCTGTGCCCGGTCTGTAACTCGGTCTGTTTAGAGTCTCTATGTACAGTGAATACTTGCCACTCAGCTAATTCAAATAAAAACGGAAGAGACTATCTAGATGCACTTTTATTTTTTATCCTCACCCAAGGATAAAAAACAGCCAGGGCTAGATCCGCTTTTTAAACAGAAAAAATAGAATTACTAAATTTAAGTTCCAGCAGAATAATCTGTCACAAGAGTTCACACTGGTCAAACCTCTGTACTAAGGGCATCCATTAAGTCTGAGCTCACACATTGCTATACGCTAAAGATTCATGAACTTGAACCCAATCTCCACAAATCTAGAGGAAATTATTTCAGAATGAATTACAGAGTGAATTGTTGAGATGGTGTTGGTGTTTCCTGATTTCAAGATCTGTTTTGCTTTAAATAGGTAAAATAAAGATGCTATCACTTTTTTGTTAAAGCCATGTGACCTCTGGGGGTGGGGGTGCACCGTCCCACTAGGAACCAGCTTGTGTTCCGCCAGACCTTTCCGACAGCCCCCCGAAGGCGGCTCACTCAGCTCCCTCCTGCACGGGGTTCCCCACGTGCTCTGGCTCCTGATCTGATGAACGATTCACCCGGACAGCACAGAAGTGGGTGGACCCAGAACTCAGCAAAGCCAGGGTCTTCCCTTGCTTGAGCCGGCCAACGGCACTCACTTCACCAAGGGGACAAGTAGGCCCTGCCCAGCGGGATTTCTGAACACGATGGTACTTGATCCTTCTAATGACAGTGCTGAGGAAACGCCCAAAGGTGACAGGACACTTAGGATACGACCTTATTAAGGTGGGTCATGCACTGTAGATTTAGAATCCTAGGCTATCTGAGTAGAAAGGGCTCTTTTAAAAAAAACAGAATTACCTGCTTCAACTTCTTTATTTTAAAGACAAGGAAACTAAAGCCCCCCCCCAAGGGAAATGACTTGTCTAAGGTCACAAATTTGGGAGCTGGCCAACATGCGAACCCCAAGCCTCCTGACCCCGTCCAGAGCTCTTCTATGTCCGGCTGCTTCCGCGAGCCGGCTTCCCACAGCAGTGACCTCCCTGATGCCCCCTCGCAGGTGCCGGGCGGATCCACAGTCTCACGTTGACTCTGAGACACGGAGACCTGAATACTGACCAAGATGGACAAACAGGCAGCAACTTAACGAACGGGGTTGATAACAGTTCCAAAGACAGTGACCGCTGAGATGTTCCACCTTGATTACAAACAAAGGTCAATACATCTCGTGCATTTTCAGAGGCCGATCCTTAAAGTTCCCCCGCGAAGGCCTGGCTTTGACTTCCTGCTGGGGGTGAGCACACAGCCTGCACTTTGCAGCAGCTTTGTATACAGCTGGGATAAAATGGCCCGCGAGTACTTCTTTCAGAAGTTTCTCCACGTCGCGGTCACTGCAGGCTTACCAGTTTATCTTCCCACTTAACACGCGTTGCTTCCAACTGCGGCGAGATCTCTCAAAAGCCTCAGTATTGGCCCAGAAACCTCTTTGTGGTCTGCTCCGGTCTGGCCTGTGTCTGTTTCTCTCTCTGCAGCTTCATCTTGTGCTGCTCACCCCACCACCTCCGACCCCAGCCAGGTGGCCTTCTCTGAGGTCCCCAAACCCTCCATGTTCAGGCCCAGAGACACAGGACGTCACAGGAACACTCGTTGGCAACCTCTCCCCCCTGGCAGGTGCCTTCTGAGCACCGTGTACCCGCCTCTCGTAGCTCTTGCCACAGGTTCCGATTCCTGCACATTCCTGAGACCATCTGAACACTATCACCTTCTCTCGTTCTATACGCAGCTCTACAAAAGCAAGGAGCAAAGGCCTGACCGAGGCCCTCAACGAGGCTTCCGGGGAGGAATGAGGACCCCGTTGGATGAACGCCAGGGGGCTTACATAATGCAGGTGCCGACCACTCTCCCAGCTCTGAACACCTTATCCTGCTTCTAGGACATGCTCTCCCTTGTTGCCCTGCGAGAATGACAGAATCAAAGTGGCGACAGTCGTCCTACTGTCTCTTTGGGGGATGAGGGGTGGAATACTCCGTTTGAGATTGAAAAGAAAAAGAAAAAAAAACCACTTCTAATAAAAAAGAATGATGAGTGACTGCAGTTCAGTATCATACCAACACCTAGGACATCATGTTGATTAAGGCTGATTGAAAATTTACCCTAACGAGGCAACTTGAAAATGACTGAAAACCTATAATCAGTGGCCCCTGATGAGCAAAAACAATGCCAAATAATTTTACTAAAACTCTTCTGGTTAAATTGTATGTTTATATGCAAAAAAAAAAACTAAACAATTTTGATATTTGAATAAAAATATAAACAAAATTAGTTCAAAGCAGTAGCCCAATAAAACCCCAATTTTTAATTTGTTCCCTTAGGGGTAGACTGGCGAGGAACTATACAACTAATTAACCACATTCCCCTTCAGCTGAATAAAATCAATATAAAATTGCTGCACGAAAATTACTTTACAGATATTTTTACAACACCAATGATGGTTTTCCATAGGCTTTCTTGAGAATAATATCCAAGGCTCTGAGACAGCTCATTAAAAATTAAGACGTTCATAACTACTGGAGCTCCGCCGGCAGCGCACATCCATGTGCAAAATTCAAGACAAAGGCACTTTGGGCGGAAATTAGACGCAGGCGCCGCGCTGCCTCCGCTGCAGGGAGCCGCCGGTGCCGGTCCAGTCGGCTGCGAACGGTCGTGCACCCGGCGCGAGCTCGCTCAAAATTCTCCACGTCCCTGCGCTGGGAGCCAGGGGTGCATACTTTTTACAGCGATGGCATTTTCATTTGGTCGAGTCGAGCTGAACAGTGCTATTCTTTTGCTTCAACGGCAGCTATCCCTTCTAGAGCCATTAAAACTAATGTTACAATAACGTGAACCACAATGTGACAAACACAGGTGACAAGCCAAAAACACGCAGCCCGTGCGGGGATGGGAGGAACCCTGGGGGCGACCCAGGGAGGCCAGAGACTTTGGGTGAGGAGATGGCTCTCCTGGGTCTCTGGCTCCTGGCTGACCAGACGGAACGGATTCTTTGATGCATCACTAAAACTTGGCACGTATCGCTGCATACAGACCTTCCTGGTTTGTGTTTTTGGTTTTAATTTTTAAAATCTATTTTTATTGATTTTAGAGAGAGAGAGGAAATGAGAGAGAGAGAAAGAGAGGCTGACGTAAGGGAGAAACATCAATCAGTTGTCTCCCAGGAACCAAACCAGGAATCAAACCTGGAACCACGCATGTGCTCTTGACCGGGAATCAAATTGGTGACCTTTTGCTGCATGGGACAACGCCCAACCAACTGAGCCACACCAGCCAGGGCGTGGCTTGGTGTTGAATTAAAATCCACATGTGAGCTAGCAGCCATTGCATGCTCATTCCATGCCGTTCCTTCTAGACCCCGGGCCGCCTCGAACACTGGACGACAGGCCTACCGGCACAGGCCTGCCCAGGTTTCTGGGACGGTGAGTTTTTCTGGATGTATCTTTATAGACATCTGTCCACAAGCCAAGGCTTCGATCCTGGGTACTACCAACAACAGAAAAAGAAATCCGCACGGGACACCGTTTCTCGGGAGAAGACCCTGGTCCAAGTCTGCTTCTCCACGTGCCGGGCCAGACATGCCGCCTGACACACAGACAGAACATCCAACAGGTGGCCCCAATCCTGGAAATGGAAATGACGGCCAAGGGCCACGGCAGGTAGAAAACGGCAGGCGCTGAGAAGGTACAGTCACCTTCCACAGAAACGCCGGCTGGGAACAACCCCGCAGGGACGATTCAGAGTTGACAAACCCCGGCCGCTATTGCTGAAGGATGGGAGCAACTTTCTCTGACTTTCCCTCTCTGGGTTAGCCCTTCTCAGTCTTGCAGTTAGTTCTTAACTATACCCAAGTGATTTCTTGCTGTTGTTGTTATGATTATTTCCTGCCTTCTCTCCAACCGTATTCCACAAAGAAGTTAATCATAACTGAGCACTAAAGGGAGTAGTGGGCGTTCCTGGTGGTTGCCAGCACTCTGCTAACTCCCACATTCAACAGCGATGATGTCTGAAAGCTACACTGTATTAACTCAGCGCTACCATTCCCTGCTGCAAATTCTAACCCACCCAAGGACTGGCTGGCCCCATGATTCACCAGAAAATGTCTGCATTTTAAATAAACTGTCCTGATAGAAAACAAACAAACAAATACAAAAAAAAAAAAAAAGCAATGCTCAAAATCGAATACTTACTCCTGTACTCACAAGTGACAACATAATCCGCTCATTTAAGGCTAATGTTTCTCCCTGTTTCATCTTGATCCTCTTCTTATCTAAGCATTTCATTGCATACCTGGAAGCAGAAATAGCGTTGAAAAATCAACGACGAAAACACACCCAGACTGAGTTCAACAAGACACACTATACTGGGGGAAGTTCTTAAAGATTTGGGCAGTATTTAAAAGAACCCAAGTGTCATGCAAAAAAATGTATTACATGTATTCAGAAAAAAAATCAACTCCCTCCAGGGGGGGGTGCAGAACCCCCAACCCCATCCCCCCGCTCCGCAGGTGTGGGCTGTGCATAGTGACTTCCCTCCAAGAGCACAGCCTGGAGAAGGGGGAGGGTGACCTCACGGTGAAGTTTGACCAACATGACCTCGGTCAAGGGCTCAAGATCAACGTCAACAGTGATCCATCACTTTAACAGGTAGCCTTGATATGATGTGATGAGAATGGCATTTCACCTCTGGGGTCTTCCTTCCATAACCCCAACCCAACTGTGGGAAAAGCATCAGGCAAACCTAAATGGAAGGACATTCTACTATACGTCAGAGGTTGAGAGTCAGGTGGAATAACCAGTGTGTGTGAAGAGACAGGCCGATATCATTTACTTCTACAACATCATGTGACAGACGAGATATTCTAAATACCTCGACAAGCTGCAATGATGAAGTAAAACTAATAAATTTAGGAAAACGTAATAAGCGACAAGTCAAGTATATCATTTAGGATCGAACAGTCCACTGGGCGAATACAGAACGGGAAGAATTGTTTTCATAACAGGACTCCGTGTTTACAATGTATCATCTGACTGAATTCTCACAATGAGGCAGGCGCTTTTTCTATCCCCACTTTACAAACCAGGATGCGAAGGCTCGAGAGGCACAAATTTGGCCCAAGCCAGAAAGCGGAGAAGTGAGTCTGACCTAGCCGTGTGACCCCGGGGACCCACACTCTGGACCCCTGCGCTATCCTGTCTCAGAGCGATGCCGGACTTCAGACACCTGGGTGCCAGGCACCGGGTTCACCCTGTACAGGGTCCCAAAGCAGGAAGAAGAGCAATGTGCACAAATCAGTGAGGGTGAATTTCAGCCGCCACATCATAAAAAAAAAGCCAACTGCAGGACCAGGACGGACTCAGGCAGGGGCTGAGCGCTAGCCCGACAGGTGATGCTGGGCAGCCAGGGGAGGCAGGCCTGAGTGAAGAGACTCATTACTCCTTCTCACACTGACCTGATGACTTCATGACCAGCCTCACAGACTACCCCACCCTGCCCACTGTTCTGACGTGCCCACCACTCAATCAGACCTGTAGGTCTGGGTCTTTCTAATCATCCTTTCCCATTCTCTTGCCTTCAGAAATATGTTGACTTAAACTGCTTTTTATTAGTAGACAGTTTCTTACACCTCAGAACTCACCGCTCACTTTCCAGACCCTGACATGCAGCTCGCATGCACTTCATCGCTTCCCATCCACCCCCGGGAGACGAGAGACTGAGATGCGCGCGGAGTGCCGTGACCTTGACCCTCGCGGCAGGTCATCCACCCATCTCCTCAGCACCCCGCTGTTCCTCTGTGGAAGCCACGTCTCCTGGAATGCTAGGTCACCCCGAAGGGCGTATGTTAAGTCGTGGGTGGGTTGTGTTGTTTAGAGGAGAACGTCTATTTCTTTCTGAGGTAAACAACTTCAGGAGCGACATCACGGGCTTCCAAAAGTCTGTGCCGGGATTCTCATTGGATGCGAGCATGAAACCCTTTTAATATTCCCAGAGAAGCGTATAAACATCAGAAACTTACATTTTCCCAGTGTCTGCTTTCCTGCAACCATATACTTCTCCGAAGCCTCCCCGTCCAATGATCCTGTGGACGCTGAAATCATTCATGGTCAACTGTGAATTCAAAATAAAGTGGAAAGAGACAACTGTATAAAAATTATGTTTAAAGATTTACTTCCATGCAAAAGATACACAGGGTATCAAAATGGCAGTGCATGACTGATTCCTACGCTTACTGAGGGGCTGCCCAAGGTGGCAAGACTTTCTAGAACCTCCTCCTGCTCCACCCCCAAAAGGCACAAAACGGAGGCAAACAGGAAGATAACAAAGTGGGAGCCAAGTTAGATTGCTTTTCCAATCTCATAAATCTTAGACTGCAAGACACATCCCTTAAAGACAAGCGATTGTGAAATTTCTAGTCAAAATGAAAAGCAACTTCGGCTACTCTGAAGCCTGAAGTTTGGGAACGACTCAGCAATTCCAGGAAGTGTCATGGTAGAAAACTAAGTCCATATCAAGTCCATCTGTGTTTTCCTAAGAGTGAGCCATATGACCAGAAAACCCAACAGATGCTGGCCATGTGCAATTTTTGGGGGGGGACGCGCCCCTAGAGTGAACGGAACCTGGGACTCTCTGGTCTGCAGGCCGATGCTCCAACTGCCGAGCCAAACTGGCCAGGGCACCACGTGCATTTTTTATCGATAACATCAGTGAATAGAGAGGACTCATGCTGGGCATGTGAGCATGAAACAAGACTAAGTGTGAGCAAAGTATATAAAGAGGCTTTATTCATAAGCACTTTCCTTTTGTCAATATCTCAGTAATGCCCTGCTTCATACAGAGTTTTAATAGCATCAGACGGCACAAAGGCAGACAGACAATTCTCCGGTCATGGCAGGAGGCTGTCGGACAATACCAAGTGCCTACTAGTGTACACATCCTGAAAAAGTAAGGGTCAGATTCCTAAAAGTTCCTCTAGCCTAGCCGGTGTGGCTCAGTGGATTGAGCATCGTCCCATGGACTGAGAGGTCTCAGTTCGATTCCTAGTCAGCACGCATGCCCAATGGTCGGCTCAATCCCCAGTAGGGGGCGTGCAGGAGGCAGCTGATGGATGTTTCTCTCTCTCTCTCTCCCTTCCTCTCTCTAAAAAAATAAAAACATATATTTTTTTAAAGTTCCCCTCACTGCCCCTAAAACATCATGCCTGCAGCCAGGCAGGGGCAGCGGGCCACAGCTTCACGTCGGATGCTGAGAGGACACGGGACAGGAAGGCACCAGGCCAGCAGGAGCAGGAGCACACGGAGGATCTAAGGGACTTTTCAAACACGTGTGACTGCCTCTCGCTTCTAAACCCTGCCGGGAAAGGAGATGGGAAAGAGAGGTGTAAAAAGAAACTCCTTGTCCAATAGGACCATTCAAGTAAAAAGCTCCAAAATAAAAATCCGTCGACAATTTATTTTTCCCTATTGCAACCTCTGTGAAGGGAGAACGTGAAGGAGATGGCAAGGAGGTGAATCAAGACCATCCTCGATTCCCGACCTCAGGCCAGCGGGGGGCGCGGCACCAGGGAAATGCATGCTGGGAAGTAGCCAGCACTGGAGGGCTGCTTCCAGCACCCACAACAACAACAACAACACAATAACAATAATGATGATGATGATAATAAAAAGATGGAACTTTGGTCTAAAAAGGGTGTCGTCATTTTTATTACTCCTAACAATAAGGAAAAGAAAAGGAACTTTACCAGGGTGGCGAAAGACAAGGACACCCAGGGATCACGGTCAGTAGACTTCTATTTTCACTACTATTTCTGTTAAAGGGCCAATTACTGCTTAAAATAGCCTTTCTTAAATAAATAACCACATTCCTATAGGAATATGAAAAAAAAAAAAGAATTAAAATTCGACTTGTTTACAGCGGGGGATGGGAGGGCGGCTTTTTCCTACGTGAAGCCGCAAGGACATCTGTGCGGACGGGCGTCCCCCTTGGGAGGAGACTCCAGAAGCAAGCATTTTCTCACGGAAGCCAGAGGGAGCTTTCATTTTCAAAAAGAAAGAATGAAAGAGATGATACTCACATGGATATTTAATTCTACGTTTTTCCACTGACAGAATCTAGTGAACTTGTCACTAAAAAAAAAGAATATAAATAATTACTGGAAAGTTAAACAGCGAATGACTGGATTGAGAGAACAGTGTTCTAAGACGGGCTAGAATCGCACCACTCATGGTACTTCTCAATCAGAATCAGGGCTCGTAAACATTCTGTCACAGTGCATCCATCGCTGGGCTTTATTTCACGATTCAAACTGAGGCGTCACGACGGCTTTAACTGTCAGACGGGACACCTGTCTGAATCGGCACTGTCGACGAAAGGAAAGCACAAGCCACATTCGTGACTGAACTTGAATAATGTATTTGACTTAACCCCAGTACATCAATAGTTATCATTCCGACACGGAGTCGGTATAAAATTATCGAAGAGAAATTCTACATTCTCGTCCTTCTATGAAGCGTCTGAACCCTGGTGCGTATTTTGCACTCACAGCTCATGGTAACCCAGACCGGTCTCATTGCCAGAGACACAAACTCACGTCTACAAACGATTGTGAGAGTGGCAAACACTCCGATGTGCCCGGCTCTGAAGGCAGGCTGTCTCGGCCGACAACCCTCTGGGCAGGCACTGTGTTGATACCCATTTTACAGCCGAGAGCAAGGCGTGCCCCAGGGCACACAGTGAGAGAGTGGGTGGGGCAGGGTTTGAACCCAGAAGGCCTCTCAACGGCAGGGACCGTGCAGGAGAGGACCTCGGGACAAACACACTCCACTGCTTGATGGGTGGGTTCATCCTCGAAGTGAGGAAAATATCTATTTCAGAAACACGTTATTTGGATTACTTTTTTGTGCGAATGAGCAACCTATCTAAGCAAAGAACATTCCTGCTGACTGCTGAGCTTCATCCGGCCCGAGCTATGATTTCCTACACACAAGAGCAGAGTACTCAGGGTTGTTGGAAGGAAGGAAGAGGGAAGGAAGGAAGAGGGGAGGAAGGAAGGAGGAAGGAAGAGGGGAGGAAGGAAGGAAGGAAGGAAGGAAGGAAGGAAGGAAGGAAGGAGGGAGAGAGGGAGGGAGGGAGGGAGGGAGGGAGGGAGGGAAGAAGGAAGGAAGGAAGGAAGGAAGGAAGGAAGGAAGGAAGGAAGGAAGGAAGGAAGGAGAAAGGAAGGAAGGGAGGAAGGAAGAAGGAAGGAAGGAAGGAAGGAAGGAAGGAAGGAAGGAAGGAAGGAAGGAAGGAAGGAAGGAGGAAGGGAGGGAGGAAGGAAGGAAGGGAGGAAGGAAGGAGGAAGGAAGGGAGGAAGGAAGAGGGGAGGAAGGTAGTGAGAGAGGGAAGGAGCAAGGGGAGGGTGTGCCTACGAAGTGCAGGTTACAGGTCTGATGGGCATTATAATACAGCGCTGCAAGGGGGCTTCATCTAACATTTCAAAAGCATTTCTGAGGCTAATACTCAAACTGAACATCAAAAGCGGAAGAACTCTTTGTAACTACAGAGCATCCTTTTACAATGACTCGAAAATGACTTTTACTGGGTGTGTTTCATTGATCCTCCTAACGTCTCTATGGCATTGGTAAAATAAAATTAGATTTTGAGATTTCAAACGGCTTTTTTTTTTAAGTATGGTGAGAGCAAAAGGCAAAAAAGCGCATGGGGTGTGCTCTTCTATAAATCCATGCCTGTTGTCGCGAAGTTCACGCGGTGTGTCGGGCTAACTCTCTCTTCTCCCCCTGGAGTTCAGAACTGGTAACCGGGGGAGGGTGCTTTAGCACATTTTACAAACCAGCAAACCGGCTGGGGAGGGTCCACAGCCAGGGAGACAGAAGTGCCCTGCTGGCCAAGAGAGGGGGTGGGAAGAGGAAGTGTTTTTAACTCCAACCCGACTCGGGCTTTCGACTGCTCAGCAGTTAAAGTTCACTGAACGCGGCTCACGAGCCTCATCCAGCAAAGGGAAAGCCGCCCTCCGGACTCGGCGGCCTGGAGCTCAGCCCTGTGTCCCCGCGGGGCTGGAGACGGCCCCTGCACTGCCGCACTGCAGTGTGGCCGCCGGACGGGCCTTCGCCCCAGGCCCTCGGAGGGTGAGGCTGCGGGCGCTGCAGGGTTCTGTTCACCGACTGCCCATGCTTTTCCAAACCCAAGCTCCAAATGCTCGCTCTGATGATGGATGTTTAAAATGATAACTTGAGAATGTGTTAGCACAAAATGCACCCGCAAAGCATACAAATGAACAAATGGACTTTAAAAAGGAATCCGTTTACATGAAATAGTAAACATGCCAGGGGATCCAGAATTTTCCGAAGTCCCACCTCACACGCGGAGGGCTTCCCTTGCGTTTCCCGCGGGGTTCGAGGGACTGGTTCCCGGGCACTTTAAACCATCGTCCCCCTCTCTCCTATCCCCCAAGGATCCCAGAAAGCTGGCTGACCCAGAGTTGGGGAAGGTCAGATTTGAGAACCCCCCCCCCTCGTTGTGAACCCATCCCCCCCTTCCATGCTGCTACTTTTGGGCCAAGTTTCCGCTCCCCACTCAGAAAGTGTCATCATTTGCAAGCGTCTCGTTTCCCAAGCACTGACCCGCTCCAGGACACGGTTCTCTTGAGCTCCAGCAGAACATGACACAGTCTGCTTTTTAAAATCACTTGAACATGTGGAGGGAAAACACTGTGAAGCAGCAGCTCTGGTCCTTAAAGGGCCATCACAGCGCAGCAGCCGGCAGCCCGGGGCCCAGGCGCAGGGTCAGGCCGCCGGGAGCCCGGCCGTGCGCGACAAGAGCGGTCAGCGTGCGCAGAGGTTCGGCTTCACGCAGCCCGACTCCAAGGGCGCGCGATCACACGCTAACACCGGGAGGTGCCCAAGAGCACACGAGCGGAACGCTTCATAGACGTCACTGAACTGTTTCAGAATTTTATACGACACATGCTACTCTGTAGCTTGAGTAGCCCAAAGGGACATGTGTATGAGGCATGTTCATGATATATCTGATCACAGCCATAATTTGCCTAAACCCTTCAAATTCTACTAGAATCAAGCTCGGCCTTGTCCCACTTCAGGGCACGTGATTCCAAAGTCCGAATAAGTGAATTAGATAAATTACAGAGTTGCCCTTGCATTAGTAATGGTGTCCCAATGAGATACTTTTAGTCTTGAGGTTCCCTAGCCTATTTAAATTTTAGACCATTTTGAAGCTAAAGAACTAAAAGCCAAAGGGACGTGAAGCTACGCAAATCAAAACTGTAAAGCATCAAGGAACCGGGCTAACGCAAAGCCTGCCACAGAGCACCTGGTCAGTAAACACCTGGGGACTGAACAAATGAACGCAGACCTTAAGGACAGCATTTACTGGGTTAAATGGGGTGCACCTACACAGTACAAGATTTTACATATATACTAATATTCTAGTATACTGTTATGGGTCAAATGCATCTCAATTTAAAAAAAATTTTATGAGAAAGTGAGTGTCATACCTTTCCATAAATTTTTGGAAAATGTTGCCTCGAAGACTTTCACAAATTTCTTCTATGTATGGCTGGAAAGGAAAGGAAAGAAATGCCACACTGCGTACACAGAAACGTGTTCAAGTTCAAAACAACGGGGGAGACTCAGACCAGGTGAGGCCCGGGGTGCACACCCTCCCACAGCCCACAGTTCTTGCCCTTCCCGGCCCGTCCGGCTTCACCGACGGACCATCTATCTCATGGTTACCTACGTAGCACACTCCCCGCAGGCAAGGACAGGTCTGTTTGCCCCGCTGTCCCTCCTGCCTAGCACGGCTCACTGCAGGCCAGCCGCTTCCCAAACGACAGGATGGCCCCGTGGGTGCGGCCTGCGCAGCTCCCCGGGGCGCACACTCGGGGAGCAGTGCTGGTTCAGCACCTTGACTCCACCACATCAGAACTCTTCGTAATTCCTGAACAAGGGGTCCTTTTTATCTTGTCCTGGGCCCTGTAAGCTATGTGGTGCACCATGTAAATTACTATTGATGAGTTATATAGTTACTATTAGCTATGATTATTATATATTGTCAGCATCATTAATGAGTTTTTTATTAAAAATTTTTAAACTTTTTTTCCTTTATTAATTTTAGAGAGAGAGAGGAAGTGAGAGGGGGAGAGAGAGAGAGAAACATCGATGAGAGAGGACATCAATCGGCCGCCTCCTGCACGCCCCCCACTGGGGATCAGGCTCACAACCTGGGCATGTGTCCTGACCGGGAATCGAACTGGGGACCTCCTGGTGCATGGGTCGACACTCAACTGCTGAGCCACACCGGCAGGACTATTAATGAGTTTCAAGACTAAAAGTTAAGGGACCCATGGAGTAAACTTTTTTTAATTAGCCATTTTTCTCACTGATTTTCTACCTCTTGGAGTCACAGAGCTATAGGGAACCGTAGGGGTGAGGGTGGGATGAGGGGAGTACATCTAAATCCTCAGTCTGTGCACAGGCAGGTGCATTCCTGGACTCTGTGAGTAAGTTCCTGGCCAAACGGGGATTAAGCTCACTCGTACTGCATTCTTTCCCGATGGAGAACAACCCAGTCCGATTTCATGCCACTTTACATATTACCGAATAAACAGCCTGATGTTTATTTTCCCTGTGATGAACTTTGAGTCAAGAACTATCAAAACGACAAATGCCAACATTTCACAGTTCAGCATAGGGTCAATTTGATAGTTTGGGGAAATACCTTGATACCCCCACCCTCACGGAATGAAGCAAATTCAGCGTTTTCTGCATCTTCGCAGATTGCTCTGAAAACGTGCAGAAAAGGGGCACCAGGTCAGACACTGTCCAGGCAGGTGACCAGGCCGGGAAGTCTGCAGAAGCCACAGGAACCAACGTAGCAGTGAGGCAACCGCAGCCCCTCCGGGAGCCTCGCTTCCAGCCGCAGAAGGGAGCCTCAGGGCCACGCCGCCGCGGACACCTCGCCCGGCCACCGCTGTCCTGGGCGGGGCACTCACACCGAGCGGGCTTCGTTCCCTCCTGGCAGAGGGAAAGCTAACCACCTCTCTGAAGCTCTTTCCAACTCCGAAATCTCGTGATGCTATGATGACATGTAATACTGATCCAAGCTCAGTCTTCTGGGTACGCAAGGCTGAGGGCCATGAGTCTCAAGAGGTTCAAAAGACATCAAAAGACAAAACAGATCAAGTGTTCGAAGAGCTAGGAAAAGGCTAAATTTGCATATCACAGATTTTTTTTATTTATAAAAACAATTATATTAATATTTTTTAATATTTTATCCAGCATCCCTACTCACTGCTAATGAAATTTAAGACAAAAGTTACTAGAAATCCTCAGACTGAGTATAAAATACCACATTGCCACTTCTCAACAGAAAGAACCACGCAATTTGCCAGTGAGCAGTGCAAAACCCCAGCACTGAATACGGCTTCATGACCTACTTCACCTCTCTGATTCTCCGTTCCTTTAATCTGCAAAACGGGATAGTCGAAAGCAATCTGCAATGCTGTGGTGAGGATTTAATAACACTGAGAGCCCAGCACAGGGCCGGCATATTTCAGGCACCTAAATGTAAGCCAGAAGCCCTTTCTACCTTTGCCACCAAATGTGCCCATGCAATTCCTTATTTCTGAAGTCAATTTTGCAAAGAAAAAGAATTTAATACAAAGTATTGTGCATTTAGCCCTGGCCGGTTTGGCTCAGCGGTTAGAGCGTCGGCCTGCGGTCCTGAGAGACCCGGGTTCAGTTCCCGCTGAGGGCACGTAACTCGGTTGCAGTTTGTCCCTGGCCCTGGTTGGGTCATGTGGGTGGCAACCACTCGACGTGTCCCTTTCACGTCGATGTTTCTCTCTCTCTCTCTCCCTCCCACACTCTATCTGAACAAAAAAATAGAAAAAATGTCCTCGGGTGAGGATAAAAAAACCAAACAAACAAAGTGTTGTGCATTTACTTTCAGAGCATTTCCATTTCACTCCCTTCAAACTCCTTTAGAAGAAATTTCAATTCGGGATTCAAACTCCCTGATTTCAAAATATATTATAAAACCACAGTAATCAACATGGTTTGGTAGCGACATAAAGAACAGACATTATAGATCGATGGTACGGAAGAGAATCTAGAAATCATTCCACACATCTACAGCCAACCGACCTTGACAAGGGTGCCAAGGATACACAATGGGGAAAGAACAGTCTCCTCAGTAAATAGTGTTAGTAAAACTGGACAGACACATGCAGAATGAAATTGGATCCTTCCCTCACACCATATAAAAAACCAACTCAAGGTGACGTAAAGACAAACGTAAGACTTGAAACCACAGAGCTACTGGAAGAAAACATGGCTTTCTCCCAAAGCTTCTTGACACTGGTTTGAGCAACACTTTTTTCAGGGGACATCAACAGCTCAGGCAACAAAAGCAAAGAGACACAAGTGGGTCTGCATCAAAGCGAACGGCCGCCGCACAGCGAAGGGAACCATCGGAGTGAAAAGGTGACCTGTGGAACAGGAGGAGGCATCTGCAGGCCTTACATCTGATCTGATAAGGAGTTAATATCCAACAGACAAGGAACTCAACTCAACAGCAAAACAAAACAGACCAAAAAAAAAAAAACCCTCATCAAAAAATGAACTATAGCCCTGGCCGGTTTGGCTCAGCGGTTAGAGCGTCGACCTGCGGTCGGGAGAGACCCGGGTTCGGTTCCCGCTAAGGGCACGTACTTCGGTTGCAGTTTGTCCCCGGCCCTGGTTGGTCGTGCGGGTGGCAGCCACTCGATGTGTCCCTTCACGTCGATGTTTCTCTCACTCTCTCGCTCTCCCTCTCTCTCCCTCCCACTCTATCTGTACAAAAAATGGAAAAATATCCTCAGGTGAGGATTAAAAAAAAAAAAAAAATGAACTATGGACCTAAGTAGATGTTTTCCGAAAGAAGGCACACTAGTGACTGGCAAGCATGTTAACTGTTCAACATAACTAATCATCAAGGAAATACATACCAAAACCACCTCACACCTGTCAGGATGGCTATTCTCAGACAGACAAGACGCAAGTGTTGGTGAGGATGTGGAGAAAACCGAACCCTTGTGCACTGTTTGTGGGAATGTAAACTGGTGAGGCCACTATGAAAAACAGTACAGCGGTTCCTCAAAAACCTAAACACAGAACTGCCACATCATCCAGCAAGCCCACGTCTGGGAACCCACCGGAAGGACATGAGATCTGACCTCGAGGGCAGGACGTGCCCATGTGCAGCCGACATACAGAGCCAAGGTACAGAACCGACGTACAGAGCCCGACGTACAGAACCGACGTACAGAGCCGACGCCAGAGTCCGTCGGCGGCATGAAGACAGCGTCAGATGAGATATTCACAACGGGTTATTATTCAATCTTTAAAAAGAAGGAGAAAGCCTGCCATCTGTGACAACATGGATGAACGGGGAGAACGTTATGATATAGGACGTAAGCCAGACACAGAAAGACAAGCACTGTATGATCTCACTTATATGCGGAATCTAAAAAAGGTGAATCCATAAAGCAGAGGTAGAATGGCTGGGGGGTAGCGGACATGAGCAGGGGTTGGTCAAATCTCGGGTACGAGGACGAGGGAGTCCTGGAGATGAGATGCACAGCATGGGGACTGTGTGAGGAAAGGAGATGATCTCGGGTGTTTTCACCACACAAACACACACACACACACACACACACAAATGTAACTATGTGAGGTGAGAGATGTGTTAATTAGCCTGATAGTGGTAATCATTCACAATGTATATGTATATCAAAATATCATACTATACACGTTAAACTATTTATAATTTTTACTTGTCAATTATATTTCAATAAAGTTGAGAGAGGGAGAAATTTCAACTCAAAGAACGTCAACAAACTCTATGGTTAATGGCCCCATATAACAGGACATCCAAATGTCTAACTTCGATTTATACTTTAATATGTTTCTGATGATACATATTACCCTGAATTGTATTAATATGCTCTTTATTTTAACTAATTTAATAATGGCTATTTTCTTCACCTTTGAAATAAGAACTCATTCTTTATCTATTTTAACAGAACATCATTTTCATTTATTTTAAGAACAAATCAGTAGTGTTTTTAAAAGATACTCTGAAGAAGTAGCTTCTGCATGGATGATCCTTGAAGGCATGAAAAGAGTTTTGCATCTTACCAGGAACTCTTGTTTAACAATATTTGTACTACAAGAAAAGCTAAGATCATAGCTGTAAAATCCACATATTGTGGGGCATAATTTAGCAACCTTCAGTGTAACCAACTATAAGCCTGTCTGTGAGCTGTGTCAAAGTCAGGTGAAAACTGAAATTCAGACACTAAAATATCATGGAGACAACACAGAGCAGATATTGACATTGCACTTTTTTAATGTAAAAAATTTGGCTGGAGCATTGTCCCACGCAGCAAAAGTTTGCGGGTTCGATTCCCAATCAAGGCACATACTTAGGTTGCAGGTTCAATCCCAGATGGGGCATGTACTGGAGGCAACCAATTGATGTTCCTCTCTCTTTCTCTCCCTTCCTCTCTCTCTAAAAATTAATTTAAAAAACATATCTTCAGGTGAGGATTTTTATTTATTTTTATCCTTAGCTGAGGAAATTTTTGCATTTATCTTCAGATAGAGCGGGAGGGAGAGAGGGAGGAAGAGAGAGAGAGAAAAATCGATGTGAAAGAGACACATCGAGCCCTGGACGGTTTGGCTCAGCGGTTAGAGCGTCAGCCTGCGGTCCCGAGAGACCCGGGTTCAGTTCCCTCTAAGGGCATGTACCTCGGTTGCAGTTTGTCCCCGGCCCTGGTTGGTCGTGCGGGTGGCAGCCACTCGATGTGTCCCTTTCACATCGATGTTTCTCTCTCTCTTCCTCTCTCCCCCTCCCACTCTACCTGAACAAAAAATAGAAAAATGTCCTCAGGTGAGGAAAAAAAAAAAAGAGACACATCGAGTGGTTGTTGCCACCCACACGAACCCAACCGGGTTGGGGACAAATTGCAACCGAGGTACATGCCCTGAGTGGGAACCGAACCCAGGTCTCTCCAGTCTGCGGGCCGACGCTCTAACCGCTGAGCAAAACTGGCTAGGGCTTTTAAAAAAAAATTTGTTAACAGCTAACATTTATGGGGCATTGTGACAGCAGGCTCAGTGCAATTCCCGCACACCTTTCTCACTGACTCCCCCAGACCCTCTGCGGGGAGCCCACCTTCACCGCCACGTCGGGAAGGTGCAGCCGTTGGCCCAGGTTTCCCCACCCAGGTGGCTGATTCCAGAGCCCAAGCTCATAACCAACCAGACCACACAGAAAGGCCCTGCAGCTTACGGCTGTCTAATTATTCTGGCAGAAAGGTTAACACTCAATTTGTTCCTGTATCCAAATGTCCTAGGAGCCAAGTTAGTGTGTTCTGCACAGAACAATCAAATTCATTTTGCATAAATAAGTAAATGCCATCATAAGGCACCAATGCAAAGCCCCACTTCTCTCTTGGTAAATGGCTGAGTAATCCAGAAAGGGGTACGTGAATTCTTCTCATTTACAAAAACCATTATTTAATGGCATTCCTTCATATTTCTTATAATTCCCAGAAATGTAAAGCAGCACATTATCCTTTTGAAAATCTGACCATCTCCTCGCAAGCTGCCGCCTCCATGGAAAACACACAGGATGGAAAGGGCGTTGGAAAGAGAACCCGTTACATCTAAGGAGAAGAAAACACACAGACCCAGCAGGGGCAGACTGTTCTCCCAGCCTCGTCATTTAAATCTACAGGACTGTGTTTGCTGTGCTCCAGACATGGGAGCCCAGGTGAAAGCCAGTTCCTCCGCCATGATGCCGAGGCTGTCCACACATTCACTCTTCACTCTTACAAATGAACCTGTGTCGCCCAGGCGATGATCCTGGCGAGGATCAACACCCCTACCACCACGAAACACATCTTGTAAAGTCCCTGCTCGGCACTGGTGCCCGGACGCCAAATGGGGACGGGCATCTTCTTCTGATAGCTTCATTCATTTATTGAAAACCATGTTACTAGAAAGCTCGAGTGACCTTTTTCAAGAAAGCCTTCATGAAGGGTGTCGGTATGACTCTATTTCAATGAGAGGACAAGCAACATTAAACTTAAATTGTCCCAGTCATCGGCCCACCGACCAAACAGTCATGGGTTCGATCCGCGGCTCCACTCAGGGCTGTGTGGGAGGCAACCAATCGATGTGTCTCTCTCATATCAGTGTTTCTCTCTTTCTCTCTCCCTCCCTCCCACTTTATCTAAAAAAAAAAAAATCAATGGAAAAATATCCTCAGATGAGGATTAAAAAAAAACAAAACAAAAAGAACTTGAACTGTTCCAGATAAAAACGGTCTGTTTTACCAAGTCCTCTGGCACCTACTCGGAGGGGAAGAAAATGTCACCCAGTGCAACTGGTAGGCAGAACCAATTTATTTATTCCGAAATACTTTTCTCTTACCTGGAAGAGAGCTGATGTCACCTGTTTCTTGGACAGATGGTTCTGTACGTGTTCTACAGCTTGCTTTGAGAATGGCTTTTAAAAATAAAAAACAATGTTTTTTCAACAATTATAAACCATAACAAACCTGTTATACAATACACAACATCAATTAAACAGTACCCTTGAAACAGAAATCAGTACATTAGATCCACATGCAGTCTTTAAAAAGACTGGATGGATATTTGTGGGCAATCTGAACAAATCCTTGCTCCTCTGAGCCCCCGGGGCTCTTGGACACCTTGCTGGGAAGCATGATGGGCGTGGGGGTGCTGGCCGATACCTAACTGCACAAGAATTCAAGATCACGGTGATTAAAAAAGTATAAAGAATCTTATCATCGCCTTATTAACTGAAAACATCCCTCAATTGGCTGATAACGGAGTCCTAAAAATGCAAAATTTCTGCAAAATTACAATTTCTAGGTAAGAGAACCTGAGGCCTGCAAACATGCCTAAGAATCCAATGCCAGGATTACAAAACCAAGCCAGGCTGGGGCGACGCTATCCGGGTGGGGAAAGTCTGGCCTGCGGGATAAAGACTACAGACTCAACACCAGCTAACAGCACCCGCCTCACCAAATCAGCCTGGCTAAATAGCAGGCTAATTTTTAAGCTGATCATTTTGTGTGGCCTGAGAATGGTGTTATCAATCTCCAAATGGCCCCTGAAGGAAGTCCTGCTGTGGCCACAGCAGAGGGGAGCTGGTTCGGAAACAATGAAACTTCGTACACCGACCAGAATGGCGAACTCTATCCTCCCCCCAAACTTCTAAGTATGTCTTCTCCAATAACGCACACTAAGAAAGGCTTAAATAGCATACATACCACACTGCTAACCAAAAAAAAAAAAAGAAAGAAAAGAAAAGAAACCCTCTAAATCGCTGAACGGCATGACCACTGTTTCACAGAGGCTTGCTTTCCCTGGGAACATCCAGCACTTTCCAAGGCTCAGCCATTGTCCTGCGAGGCCCGAACACCAACGATGCGCCCAGCTCGGAGACCCTTCCCACCAGCTAGGTGGGTGGTAAGAACAAGCGCAGTCCCACCGCGGGCGGTGCCATCTTAGGCACCAGTTCTTCAAATGCCAGGAAGAACTGGAAACACCACAGTAAAAAGAGAAGCAGGACATCATGACTGTGGCCAGCGCCGTCCCATCCAGCTTTCTGCGATGAGCGACATCCTGTGTATCTGAGCTGTCCCATACAGGTGCCACGAAGCCACCGGTGCCTACGAGCTCTCGAAACGTGGCACGTGAGGAAGTCAGGAATTAAATGATTAATTCCATTTGATTTTAAATAACTTAAACAGCCACACGTGGTTAGTGGCCACCGTACCAGATACCACAGGCCAGGACCATTAGGCCAGTCCTTCAGAAAACAGTCTTAAGGTGGAGAGACCACATGGTAAATTGTTATTACCCATTTCTCCACTCACTCCTGATGGAGTGATTTCCTAGGAAGCTGGCTTATCCTAATGACTGAATTAAACCGTTTATCTGACTTACAAGAAGAAGAATTTCAACCATTATTTAACAACTAATGAACATGATTGATACAATAATTATAATCTTCCCTATTAATTCAAAGCAACCACTAAGACTTGTATCTACCAATTCTGATCAGTCTAACTGTGAAAGTATAAATACATGGAAAATAATAAAGCTTAATCTCCTTGAGAAAGTCTAGCATTGAGACTAGCCTTTTCTCCCATCGCTCTGAATTGGCTGTTTACTTCATCAAATGCTGGCAGTGAAGGCATCTGCTTTTTGGAAACACATCAAGAGCTCATGGAGCAATGGGGACCGTATCGGTACTGGCCGGAAACAAATGAGAGCAGAAGAAACGGGTTCCATCCTGGATGAGTGTCAGCTGATTTTTAAACACCTTCCTCCTATTGGACTTCCCTTTTATTAACTTGTTTTATTTCATTTATTTTTAGAGGGAGAGGAAGAGAAAGACAGAAACATGGATTGGCTGGCCGCCCAGGCCCAACAATCGAACTGGCAACCTCTTGGTGCACGGGACAATGCTCAAGCAGCCGAGCCACACTGGCTGGGCCCTATTTGACGTCATCTGGAGGCACTGCAGGCCGTCCCGTGTGCATCCACACCGAAGGGACAGGGCAGAAGAAACACTCACGTGCGAACAAGACAGCAGCTCCTTCATGATGTACGTGTCGTAAATCTGTCGACTTCTGCAGAGGCGATCTTCCTCATTATCAAGCTTTTCATATTCTTTTATCTAGATTTTCAAAAGTTATCACTGTTAGGTATGTCTTCCTAGAGACCTACTTGATTAAAAGACATTCCTAGTCTTGGCAAGAACCACATCCACACCAGATCGTGCAAATTACGGAACTGGCCATGTCACAGGAAACAGCTGCCTCTAATGTGGTCAGAATGGAGCTGGAGTCATTTAAAGTCAATGAGAAACCTACAAATGAGATTTTTCCTATGATGAACCTCATCCCTTAAATTTAGAAACACAATATTGGGCAACAAATACTGCCATGGTTACAATTACCTTATACTCTACCAGCCACGGCCACTCACGCTTGCCAATTCTCCCTTCCAAAGCACAAGTAAGTTCCATTTGGCTGTAATTCAGTGCTAAGAGTTATGATGTAGTTCTTGCTCAACTACAGCATTGCAAAACTAACAGGAGAAAAAAATTATATATATATATTATATTATATTATATTATATTATATTATATTATATTATATTATATATAATCTGGATTCCTGCAAGGTGAGTTTTTAAAAATGAACTAAATATTTTAGAAAGGCATTACCCATAGATTAAAGCATTGGAACCTCATCCGCACTATTAAAGTACTAACAGAAAGCTTACCTCAAATAGATTTTGCTAACTTAGGGATGGTAACCTGACCAGTGTTTAAGAGGTCCCAAGAATAAAATGCGCTTTAGAAATATTTGTCTTATATGGAAATGGCCCCGATCATTCTAACCTGATAACAGAAGCTCCTGGATCAGAGAAGTGTTTTTATTTATTTACAGAAATACTTTTAATCCAAAAGAGAAAAGGAGAATGAAAACAAATGAAATATGGAGCTAGTAGGAAGACTAGCAGAGATCTTCAATGTCATGACCAATGACTATGTCTGACTAACGGGGGGGGGGGGGGGGGGGGTTCCAACAGGTAGCCAGTTGTTCTACTAACTTACATAATATCTGAGTACTCTTTATTCTTGAATGATGTGAATGATAAAAGGTGGGGCTAACTATTCCCATGGGAGACTACACTAATGGAAATAAAAGTTACCTTTCTCCTTTATAGTCTGAGTTTGACAGTTTTGAAATCAAAACCAGTAAATCCTATAAGAATTTCTGATAAAGAGCAGAGAGAGGGGTATGTGAAATACCAAGGTCCCATCTGAGGCCTAGCTGGTTTGCACATTGAGAAATTCCTGGGATCATCTTAATTGCCCTGACACACCTTCAGTGTTACACGGAGAAGGCTGAGATTCACAAGTCTGTAGCTACCAGGTGTAGAATGAAGTCTTCTTGGAACAGATAATAAAATCTGACATAAAAGGCAGGCAGGCTGGGGTAAGTGGACACCCCATGCGAGAGGAAAAGACAGCTTTAATGAAGCAGCAATCCAACAATAACCAAAGGACCTGGGCTTAACCATCCCAAATTAACTCAGGAAAACAAGTCTAAAGAGTTCAAACATCAGGACAGATGCCACCATGGCAGCTGTCAACAGAAACCAGACACCAACATCAGAAGCAGAGTCAGAAAATAAATGCAAGATTCTGCGTTGGCTGATTTATTTTGTTGTTCTGTTTCGGGTAGGCAGATGCTAGAATGCTAGGCTAAAACGGGTAGGCTACCAGTGAACCGAAGGCCAATGTTTCTGCCTAAATATCTGAACAAAATCAAGGAATAATAAGCCTTCATGGAATTATTATCTTTAAAAACAAGTGCAATGAAACATAAGACTCTTTCAGGGCCTATACAGCAGGGTGACACCTTAAACAAATGCTGATTTTATGGAAGCTTTTCATGAACTATAATAATCCACCTATACTGAAAATTCTAGTTTCTCGGGCAAATGACACTCTGAACCACAACCCTGGCTTTGTTAAGAGCCTTGTGCTTCATAAACTTCAATTTGAACAACAGAAAAGGTACCTCTTAGTTGCAAGGCAAAGAGCTTCACATATCTGTGGCTGTAATTCAGAATTTACTATTGTCAGTAAGACCACTAATGAAAGAACATGCAATCAACTATTAGTTAGTTCTAGCCAGGGTGTCCTTACTGTAGCACAACATAGAAAATGCCGCCTCTCGTTCAGGCAGTTGGTTGTCCTGGTAACCTGAGCAGGCAGAGCTCTGAGTTCAAGGTGCAAAGACCTCCCTACAGCAGAACAGAAGCACCATCATCAATGATGAACAGTCACCGAGCACGCCGTCCCCTTCTGCTTTGGTGGTCACAAAGCTCAACCGCTGCACATGTAGCTAAATGCCCAGGACCAAAGAGCCAGCACTTTTGGTCCATGGCTGTCACGGTCCCCACTTCCCCACCTCCTGTCTATTCTACGATCACTCCAGTGGGCAGCCCATTGCCATCACTGGTGGCCTCTGCCCTGCCTGATCAAGGGTCTCTCTTTTGTCCTCAGCTTCACTGGCCTCTCCACGACATTCAGCTCAGTTGCCATCCCTGCCTTCTTTGGAGCTTGGTCCTCTGACTCTCCAAGGGTTCACCACTCTGGCTCCTCTTCCTCAGCCTCCCTCGGTAGTTCTTCCTCCTCGGCTTGACTTCTCCATACTGCAGAGCCTCAGAGGGTGGTGCTGGGCCCCCCCCTCACCCACGATATGCTCCTTAGGGAAAAATCCCTCATTCCCACAGTTTCACAGACCAATTATATTCCCATGACGAAGTCTGGATCTTTAGGGCTCGCCTGTCCCCCTGAGCTCCAGATTCTAAGGATCGAACTACCTATTTGTCCACATCCTCTCTTAATAGCCAACTAGCTGCTAACAGAACAGTCCTCCTGAGGAGGGAAGAGAGCCTGGACATGTACAATGCCCAGCTACAGAGGCACTGGAGTGACCAAAAATACACGGATAATGAGGAAGGGGCATCGAACAGAAGCTGGAGAGTAAGAGGGTATTCCTGAAAATACAGAGCCAGAGGGGGAGCTCTAAAATTCTGTATATAAACTGTCAAACCTCTGTTGGGCCCCACACTGACACGTGAGCACAGCAGACACAAAGCCGTCCAGCTAGGGCGGAAAACCCTGAACAAGCTTCCGCTGCCACACGCTGTATGAGCAGACAGAGCATGGTGCCTGAATAAGCTCCATTAACTAACAAAACAATCAAACCCTTTGGAGAAACACATGCAGGGTTTAGGCTAGCTATAATGTATCAACAGCAACATACAAGATACAAAGTAAAATTATTCTACATATGAAGAAACAGGAATATGTGCCCCACATGCAACAGAACAGACCATAAATGAAGACCAATCCCAGATGGCTCTGATGTCGAAATTATCAGACAAAGATTTAATGCAGCTATTGTAACCATACTCAAAGACATAACAGAAAATATGCATGTTATGAATAAAAAGACAGAAAATAGCAGCAGAAAAAGATTAACTATGAAAAGAACCAAATGGTAATTTTAGAACTAAAAAACACAATACCTTAAATAAAAAAATTCTGGACATAATTGCAGACTAGAGATGCCAAAAGAAAAAGTCAATGAATTTGAAGATCCATAGAAATTACCCAATCTGAACAACAGAAAGACAAAAATATTGGCCGGCGGGGGTGGGGGGGGGGTTGAAAAAGACATCAGTAATATTTAGGATAATATCCAAAAATCACATGTACATATAATTGGAGTCTCAGAAGGAGAGGAAAGAGATATTGAGGTAGAAAAAAAATGTTTTAAGAAAAAAAATGTTTCACCACATTTTACCAGATTTGGTGAAAGATCCAAATTTACAGATTCAAGAAACTCAGCAAAAACCACAAAGAACAAACATAATATCTAAGATTACTCCACTAAAAGCAGAGATTGCCAGAAAGGGGGTGAGGGGTGGGGTGTGTAAGACACTTTTATATCTGTCTAAAATAAATAAATTTAACACACACACACAACAAAAAACAAACACTGATTGAAAGTGGATGGGAAAAGATATATCATGAAAACAGTAAGTATAAGGACACTGAAGCAGCTATATTAATTACCAGTGAAGTCATTTTCAAGACAATATTGCCAGCAATAAAGAGAAACATTTCATGTGAAAAACACACACACACACAAATAATCATAAATGTATATGCACCTAATAACAGTGCTTCAAAGTACAGGGAAAAAAAATTGACACTAAAAAAATAAACAATTCTACAGCCAAGAGTTGGAGCTTTGAACATCCTCTCTTAGAAAATGATATCACTAGATATAAAATCAGTAAAGATGTCGAGGATCTATCATAGCAGCCACTTTCATCTCACTGACATTTACAGACTATTCACCCAACATTCCCTGTATTAAATTTTCCATTGACTTCAGGACAGAATCTAAATGTGTTACTCTGGCCCCCAAACCGTGTGTTTGAACTGCTGCTCCGTCCCCTCGCCCATCACAAACACACCACGCTGGTCTTTCGGTTCCTCAAACTCTGCGAGTTCTTTCCCATGCATGAGGGGCTACGTCTTAGCCATGACTTTAGCCTAAAAGGTGTCCCCGCCCCACCCTGTTCTTATCTTCCTCGTCATCCTCAGAGAGACGTCTGTGAGCCGGCATTCGAGTGGCCACCCAGCCACAGTCTCTCGGTATCAGGTCTGTTGTGAGTCACCGCAGAGCAGTTATTACTTCCTCATATATTTCCTATTTACTTACCACTTGTTTATTGTCTGTTTCTCTCAACAAGAAGAGAAGCTAACGGACGGCAAGGACTTTGCCTATCTGTTCATCCAAGCCATGCCTCCCAGCACTGGTGTTTGATAAATATCGGTTGCATGAGTAAACTCTAGATAGTAACTTTACCTCTGATCCGATATTTATTTACTATTTTCTATGATTTACTTTTAAGTCTAGGTATCATACACATATTTTTATAAGCTGCTTCCAAGCCCACCTGGGACAAACAGGTGTATAACCACACACTGAGCAGGGACGAGCCGGGCACTGTTCCGGTGTGCTGAGCTCACACACGGCCACCCTCAGACAGCACTGCGACCACACTGATGCCCAGCTG